GTGTATCACAGCATTTAGATGGGATCAAAGACACATTCAATATGGATATGTCTTGTCTTTAATTGCAATTTCAATAAATTTCTCATGACTCATCTGTCAAAAACTTTCAAACACTATGCTCTTGACTGCTGGCGTTAATAATTTAAGGCGGCTTTTTCTTTCGGGAATTTTATTAATTTTATTAATTTTATTATTATTATTTATTTTTTTTTTTTTTCCCTCTCAAAGTAAGGTTGCTGAATATCTTGACAGAGATTACTTGTTTAATGCGTTTGCTTATTGGTGAGTTGTGGAGCACAAACCCAAAAAATAAAGGGTCCTTCAACAACTCATCTCACAACCAAGGCACGCAAGTTACACTAGTATACATTTTTATTTAAATCTATTTATCGATGACTATCTAGTAAGGCCTGCCATGCACAAGTTGATGCAAAAGGCACCATCACCTCTATGAACATTGTGTAGGATCCCGCAAAACCAAGGTCTGAATTTGCTGCGACAGCTCCTACCACTGCCTCGACCAGTTTCGTCAGACATCCTGTCGACCTCTACGTGCCTTAACTGCCACGAATAGTAAGCAATGTTGAGCTCACGAATCGATGAATGACTTTTTGTCTGATTCAGATTCGGAAAAGGCCCATATGTGCTTGATTAATTTGTTCCGCGATTCCCACCCCCCTCATGCCTCTCACTCATAGTTTTGGCTGTCAAGCCAAGTCGCGACTCCTGGTTTTCTAGCTCCGTGGACAGCTTCTAGAGCTCTGGAAGAGCTACAGACCAATGACCATGGCCTATGATGCCAAGAAAGCTCGAAATAAGATTGTTCCAGATATCTTCCCCCGTTATCTCAAGGTGGAGGATGTGCGCTTGGTAATAGTAATCTGACTTTATGAATAAAAATGTCAAAGATGATTAAATCACATATAACTACTAGACTCGTGTTATTAGTGAGCATTGTATTCGGTATGGTAAAGCTCAAGCTGTGGAATTCTTTGAAGCATATACAGGCTATGATTTACTTTGAAGAAGGCTTTGGATTTGTGCAAGTCCCTTCATAAGCATAGTAGAGCAGCTGTAGGGATGACGTGGTATAAACGGTAGGATATGATAGGATAGAACCCTTTATTTATTTGCATGTGTTTATTTTTACTTTCTTGCCCTCAATAAGTCGAGCTCCTTCTTTAAAGCAGCATTTTCACATAGAAGTGGGATGAGCTTACTCTCCATCTCTTTTCTTTCCTTCTTTTCGCGTTCAAACTCTTCTTCGTACTTGTATTTTTCTCTAAAACACTCCTGCATCTTCTTTTTGAATCTTTCCATAAGACTTTATTCATCTTCACGACACATCTCCACATATCTTTCTTTTTCTTTACAACATTCTTCCATATATTCTTTTTTTTCTTTTTCGTATCTTTCCATATATTCTTTTTTTTCTTTTTCATATCTTTCCACATACTCTTTTTTTTCTTTTTCATATCTCTCCACATACTCTTTTTTTTCTTTTTCGTATTCTTTTACATAATCCTCTTTTTCTTTATAGCATCTTTTCACATATTCCTCCTTTTCTTTATAACATCTTTCCACATATTGGTCTTTTTCCTCTTCCATCTGCCTCCACTTGAGTCTATATCGATCCTCCTCTATATTCTTTTGCGTCTCCATCTCCTTCTGTCTTGAGTAAAGATCAACCTCCCTACTGAACAACAAATGTTCCCGGTGACAGACTGCATTCTCTCTGTTCGCAATAAGCGCTCGACGCTCATTTACCCAGAGTCTCTCCTCGATCTTTCTATCCTCCCATTGTTTCCTCTCTTCCTGAAATATGTCCAGTAATTTTTTAAGAAGCTCAGCGTCGTTAGGTTTTTTACGCTCCTTTGCCTTCTTTCCAGCAACGGATGCCTTGATGATAGCTGTTAAATAACGATATTGTTAGCATTGAATTATTAAACTCAACTGCTATAAAATATACATACAAAGTAAACTATTTGGTCGTCTTTTTTTTTTTTTTTTTTTTTTTCTTACCTGTCTGCACTCTCCCATCATCCTCGTTATTAGCCTCTAAGATACTTGTCCCTACTTCGTAATCATCGTCGGCGCCATCATCATCATTATCATTATCATCACCATCATCATCATTGCTGTCAGAAGTTTCCAGGTTGACGAAAGCTGTTGATTGGCTTAGGGGCGAAGGCTCTACAGGAAGACTGGTAGCGGAATATACACGATCCAGTTTTTCAAATGCTGGACAGATACTAAGGGCACTATCTCTGAGGGTAGAAAAGTTACTGCTGCTGCTGTTGCTGTTGCCTTTATCAGCTTTAATGAAAAGGGCCTTTGCTTTCTGATATTGTTTCCTTAGATACTGGAGCTTTGACTTTACAGTTTCCTCAGTCCAGTTCGCTTCAGGGTGGAGCGAGTTGATATGGGCAGCGATCCTTGTGCGAACATCAATCCGTCTCTGACCCTGTGTCGGACGTACTACATTCAGACTCTTGTAATTGTCATGGACTGAAACCCAATCCACCAATGATAACGATGCAGGGTTCGTCCAGAATGTTTTTCTTAGGTCCTTTGGAGAAAGAGTGTTCGCAAGCTCTTCTTCTTCCTCATTTGACTCTAAGCGTCTGCGTTTATTAAGGCTGTTCGCAGACGGTGGTGGTTTTGGGAGAATAGCTCGAAAAAGTGATCGAGCTGGAGGCGATGGGTCATGGCGATGATCAACAGATGTTTGTGGTGATGCTAATTGCTGTTGAGATTGTGAAGATTGGCCTTGAAGAGGCTGTCCTTGAAGTGGCTGCATAATTGGGAAGGAAAATGTGACAGAGAAGCAAAGACGGTTTGTTTCGATTGGAAGGGACAGAACAGAATGAATTCGGATATCATCTTTTCAACCAATTAAAAGCCGTATTTTCTGTGCTCGGACAAAACTTATTTTATTTAATAACATCTGTATAAATATAATGTGTATTTAATTTCCAATATAGTACATGTTCAGATTATGGACCTCTCGTGCGATACCAGGCCAACCCATAGGATCAAAACGTCCTTTTAATCGTTGCTCCCATTGCAGCAGTTCATACATAAACAGTAGATTGGGTTGGATAATCACACTTAATCGACGCGCTCGGACCATTAAATACGCATCCACCAATGATAAATTATAATGAGCCATCAAGTAGGCAATCACAATAGTTGCTGAGCGTGATACACCTACACGACAGTGAATCAATATACGGGCATTGGCTCTCCTTGCTTCATCTATTTGATACAAAAGTGAAGAAAGGAAAGAAAAAAATTAGTAGAAATTTATACACAAGCGTCAGGAGTAGAGAAAGGATAAAATAAAAATAAAAAATAAAAAATAAAAAATGCTTACCAACGAACGAGACACAATTTTCGAGATGTCTCCACAGCGAATCCACACCATTGTCAAACATATCGTCCACCAATTTGACCATAAACTTTGACGATGATGCTGGCGGTTTGTCACCGTTGCTATTGCCGTTCGCGTCCACACCCACATCCACATCCTCATCTAGCCCATGGGCCTCTTCACCTACACTCAACACATATCGTATTCCCAAACTCTTGAGCAAGCCTGGGTTAGAAGCATGCGCCAAGTTGCCTAGATACAAAAAGGGTAAAATCCTAGATGGGAACGATCCTTCAAATTCAGGATGATAAAACCATTGAAATCGTTCCTCGTGGCCTGGCCTCAAGTATGGTTTTTGAATAATCGGCTCTTCTTTTTTCCCTTGTGCGGATTCGATTCCTTCCATCATCATATTCAAAGAAGGTGTGGATGCAGATGGTGATATTGGTGATGGTAATGACGAGGACGATGATGGTGTATTTCCTGAAGCTGTGGTGTTGGACATGTTAAGCGATGACGAAAAAGATGACGAAGATGAAGAGGATGAAGATGCAGAAGAAGACAATGACGATGCTCCAGAAGCCGCTTCTTGTTGTTGATTGGATCCTATTGTTGATGATAACCTCGTACTTGCCTCTCGATCTACCTTCTCCATCAGTATCCTCTGCCAAATTTGGTTTTCGACTTCAAGCATCATGACTGCATCATTTGGGTATACGAAAAAACTGCGTCCCAAGTCCGTTTGTAACTTGACATAGGCTTCAGCTAAAGAAATTTGGTAGTGAATCATGACTACTGCCAAAGCCAGCAGTGCTGACTCTGTGTATCCATCCACGCAATGGATCAAAACTTGATGAGCAATGGGCTGTAAAGGTTGCTGTTGAGTGACACGTTCAAAGCCCTGATTGTTATTACTAAAGCTCGACAGCTTTTTGGCGTCTGGAGCCGTAACAGCATGAATGAAGAAAGCCATGTTGACCAAATGATTGACTTGAGTCTGAAGCATTGAACCCATCATTGGCAGGTTCTTTAAAAGACCTGAAGCAGTTGCTCTGCGCATAGCATGGGTAGCGCTGATATCAATATGATCGGGTCGTGCAAAACTAGAAAGAGACGATGTCGAAGGCGGGAATGCATCTGGATTCACTCCTGCAGTAAGAGCACCTAGACACTCCAAATGGAAAATCTCTTTGGTACTCAAAGGCGCAGGCGTGCATGCAACATTGCTCCTGATACGATCCAAAGTCATGGTCGTGGGCGCATTGGCGCCTGAGCGACATTCAACACAGATTGAAGGATGAAAGTTGGAATAATTGTTGAACGAGGGTGGTGTCAATGGTGGATATTCATTCTCCTCTGGAGGAGGCGTGGAGGGTAGAGTTGAGGGCTTTACAGTTGCGGAAGAGGCCGAAGAGCTTTGAGAAAGTGCATGGGGTATAGAGGAAGGAGGGAAAAAGTAGGAGGAGAACGATGTACCAGGAGAAACAGGTGTTGCAAGCGACGATGCACCCGTATTGGTGAGAGGCACATCGGTGTTGTTTCCGAGCTGTTTATTACGGATCAAGGTGAAGGAAATGAAGGAAATGAGAGGGCAAAAGAAAGAAGGGTGAGAATGAGACATCTAAGCATCTTCATGTGCTCTGGGCTGTGTGCTTATGTGACCGATTTCAGTCGCGTGTCATGCACTGGTGATTGATTGGTCAAAGCATGATGTCAACAAGAGACAATGACCAAGCAATTATGCATTAAAACAAATTTGTCTATTGCAATGCCATTATCACAATAAGATCAAACAATAACTGGCTTAAAATTGATACGTACCCAGATACCTGGTGCGATTTCAGAGGCGCGGGTCAACAAGGCCATCTGCTCTCGTTCTTGTTCCCAAAAGTCAACCTTGTTCCTGCTTGGTTGGCCATTGCTTGCGACGGCAATCAACTCTGGGTATTTTGTCTCGAATATCGCGAAAGAATCTATTGTGTATCATGTCCATGTGGGACAAATGCATTCAATACAGATACAGGAAAATCAATATTGTGGGCTCTTCTCTTTCAATGGCGTTTCTCCCATGCTTCTGTAATTTTTTCTTTTTTTTATCCGGTTGGAGACTTTTTCTGTGCTACTTTTTAAAGATTCATACCCAAAACTCTTTTTTCAGATAAAAGCAAACTCTACTCAGTGTCACTGGTTGTGCTGTGCTCTTCAAAGGTACTCCGACACTTTGTCTTCTCATCCCCCTTTTTCTTTACCTGAGCTGATTATGTTTATGCACATACTCTTTTCCATCCCCGACCTGCCCTATCCTGCCCTGTCTCCTGCAAGATACGCCATATTATTCAAAGAGACAGAAACAGAAACACATGCTATCGATCTTTCTTTGGGCTCTTTTTTTTTCCTCTTTTTTTTTTGTTGTTGTTGTCATTACTAATTGTTGTTTCTTGTTGTTTTTTTTGTTATTGTTACCTTTCAGAACAAATGTCTGGCGTCTTGACTCAAAGGTCATCTGTGGATATTGTTCTTTCATCAACTGCCAGATTTCATCTTGAGCTGCAGAGATCTGTTTAGCAAGTTGCAAGATTCCCAGATCCTGCTCACCTTCGTTCGCATACACAACAATGTCTGATAGAAGTGCATAACGTGGCACCTGAATCTTAAAATTTCGGATATTGATCCCTTCACTTTGAGATTGTAAGAACGAGCCCGAATACATTGGATGCATCCCTACTGTCGAAAATGAAGAAGACTTTGCGGATTTTGATGTAGATGCAGATGGAGGATACACTGCATTGGTAGAAGATGATGTGGTTGAGGAAAATGATGAGGAAGAAAGAGAAGAGTCATCCCAATCAGACTCATGTCCAGTCACTCCTTGGTTAGCATCCTGTTGTTGTTGTTGTTGAAGTTGCTGTTGGACTGAGGGGCTATCCGTGTATTGGTGATGCATCTGTGGATGGTTGTTAATATCTCCCAATTGGGGGGGTGATGACTGTTGCGCTTTATTGGCAGAGGCGTTTTGAGAGCCTAAGTCAGAAGGTCTTGTTGCCGACAACACTCGTGGAGCAGGCTTAAGAATCTCGGATGGACTAATGGAGCCTACGAGTCGACCAAGGTCTCGCTCACAGGTATGGACAAACATCAGTCCGCGATGTTCTGGTATGGGTAATTTATGGTTTGTGGCAAATGTCTCTCCATCGACCATCATCGCGTCAGCACCAGTTCCGGTGAGGGAACCAGTGTAGTAAAGATGGTGATGATAGCTCTGTTCGATGCCAAAAAAGTAATTTTGTGTGCTGTCTGTCCCATCAACTCCATGGAGCCAAGGAAACATGGATTTGGAGGGCAAAGGGGTAGAGACAAACTTCTGGTGAAGGGAGAATAACTGGTCAGCTTCAATAGCATGCACAGGGGGTTGGGAATGAATGAGCGGACAAGACGAAACGAATGTTGAGAATGAGTTCTCAGACGACTCGACTGACGAGGGATTTTCGGGTTCATTCTCATTGGCAATGGAGGTGGCAATGACAGTGATGGTGGAAGTGGTAGAGGTATTGTTGATGCTGCTGCTGGTAAGAAAGGTCGTATCGCCTTCCAGGACAGAGCTGGAAGCAAGAGCAGTCGCGACCATGCCTAAGTTAAAGTTTTTTACTTTATTTTATTTTTTGTGGGGGAAAAGGAAAGAGCAAAGTCAGGCAGGGTATAAAGAAGAATGATAAATGAAGAGATGATGAGAACAAAAAAAAAAGAATGAAGAATGAGGAAAGAAGAAAGTAAAAGAGGAGGAAAAAAAAAAAAAGTAGAGCGTCGACACATGGTGCAATGGTACACAAATACACAAACGATGTGATGTTTAGAGTTTTTTTCAGTAGCCCTTTTTCCAGCCTTCCTGTGGAAGAAAAGGAAAAAGAAAAGAACGGACAAAGGGGTTTTGGGTGTCACAAAGCAACCGCTCCAGTGGAGACCACGCGTGTTAAATGCATACGATGCATACATGTTTGTACATGTCCAATGCAATGCAAACAAAATATGCAGACTATTGTGATCTACCCCCTTGCATCCTTGCATTGCAATGAAATCGCATAAAACATCTTCACTAAGCACTGAACACTGAACGCTGAACATCGATGTAATGTTATTCCTCTCTTCTTCTTTTTTTCCTCTAGACAGGGAAGGGAGGAAACGGGAAACATTTCCCCTTCGACGTAACGTAAGAAGATATCTTTTCATCGTATAAAAAAAATGAAGATGTCTTTTCATCATATAAAAAAAATGAAGATGAAGACTATTAGCTATACATGACTGTGTCCTCGTCATTTGGTCATGCACATATTCTAAAAACATATAATTATTGAATTGATTTGGTCGGCTCAGAATTTTGAATAATCTTAAATGAGTTGGTGGCCAAAATCAGCCACCGATTCAATACACAAATCCCATTCAATGTGACGCGCTTTTTCTGGGGCCAATTCAATCAATATATTTTTACAATATGTGCATGACCAAATGACGAGGACAATATATACATCATTGAGAGCATACATGGGCTGCACGGGAATAATAAACAAGCCCTATCAAGTGCTACAAGTTATGAAGATAATGGGAAGGAGAGAGCAAGCGAGAGAAAAAAATATTACCGCTAGTTCAAGTCGCTCTCAAGTCCTCAAGGACAATATATTTGACCAACAAACAACCCATGGTGGATATCCAATGAGAATTAATCAAAATAATCAAATAAACAATCGAATGGTTTGCAAATGCACGAATCCTATTCGCTTTATGAAATTATCTTCTTCTTTTTAGACATGTAAACCTCATCTGCAGCTGCAGTGCAAATCTCTGTCCTGTCAAACACAATTGGCATTTGGGCATGTGCGCACAGGCACCATTCTTCATTGGAATTCATTCTCAGTCCTCAGTCTGGCAAATATATATATATTTGTATAATACATGTACATGAAAACTAAGCGCATCCCAATCTAATCTTTTGTTTTCCGACGTGCTTCGAAACCTTGTAAATGCAGTGTCTTTTTGATCTCTACCCACAAGCCGTTTCGGAGTTTCTCAGGAATGCTCTTATCGCGCGTTTGTACAACCCATTTGATCTCATTGTATCCCATTCTCTTGTACAACTCTGGGTGCCATCTTCCCCCGAGGCACAGATCGCAATGTATCCGGTTTATTCAAGATTCTAGACGCCGGTTTTGAGAAAAGAAATGCTCAACTTTTTCCATTCGAATCAAATTCTGATCGCCGGCCCAGGCAATGAAAGCCAGGAGCCGAGAGGGGTAGACGAAAAAAGATACAGGAGCAAAGCACAAGCATACGTTAGATTTTATAATATGCTGCTTATGGGGAAAGAAGTTGCAGAGGATGGGAAAGTCAAAAGGAGAGTGAACATGAAGAGTGGAGACGAATAAAGGAATAAAGCGGAAAGCAATGTAAACATCGACGAGATTGTGGGTGAAGCGCGTGACATCATATTCTTAAAAAAAGAAGCCCAGTCATTTAACATTTGGTGTATTTAGGAGGGAGCTTGCAGATGCGACACTGCATTATATAGAGTCTAGTTGTCGTGAATCACGCGGCCGATATGCTCTCATCATTTTTGCACAAAAGCGCGCATCTGGAAGCCATCAGTGCCTTGCTTCCTGAGACTCCCCATTGGGTTATTAAATGATAGCAACTTTACGTGTGTTTCCTTGAAATAGACGGGAACTAAAGTGTCAATGCGCACACAAAGTTCACGTGGAAGAGATTTTTTTTTTTACTTGTAAGTAGTCGAAGAGAAATAGGTTGATAAAGAATGCTGAGCATCTGAAAAAGACGCGCCTTTTTAGGAGTCCCTTTCATAACCGCTACAAAGCACCTTTTGTCCTTTTAAGAATTAGATATAGAGTATTATAGAGCGAAATGCATTTTTATTTACGTTTTTGTATGTCCTTATAACACCTATCTATATGAGAACGAGTTGTGTCTTTCACAAAAACCTCGCGAATCCTTTCACATAACGGCTCCTCAACTTCAATAGACAGCTACGTGGCAACAGGTCGCGGGCTTATTGACCCATGGTTGATGTTTGCTTTTGCTTGATTATATCATGGTTTGCAATGGTTGATGAGAAGTCTTTGGTTCTCTATAAAGCCCAAGACATGGTAAGTCATATTTGTGTCACTGGAGCCTTTATAACTCATGAATGCCAAGCCAAAGACCAAATGAGTAGCAAGACGTGTTAGCTTCGATATAAACACGTTTGGTCAATCCAGTGGATTGGAGCGCTCGAAACACTACAGTGCAATCTCGCCAACACAACAGATACCATTTAACGTACTAATGTTGCAAGAAACCAAAAATAACAAATCAAAATATCTCGATAACCTTGAGAAGTCTCGAAATGCAATAGCTGGACTTTCGGGCCTTCCGCTTTGTGAGTGGCAAACTCCAGCCAGCTGATACAGAATCTGCTCCTGAAATTGAAGTAGTATACAGGCAAACCTTCCGGTTCAGAATAATAAATTTAAACAACTGCATGGGAGAGGACCTGTTTGATTCATAAGGGCATCCGTTATCGTCCGCATCATCGTAATGTCAACACTTTTCACTTCTGTTTCCTTTGAGCATGATTAATGATCTATAGCACCGCATGCTTTCAAGAAGGTCTTTGAACCATGGCGGACTTCCGAATCCGAGCAGTGGCCCAAAATCCGATAAATCGAACTGTATCCGACAAATTGGATTTGATCCGAGGGTTTAAGGAATGATTGGATAGAGGTCCACTGAGGACGCAAGGCGCTCTGATGATCGGTTTGAATATCAGCAAACAAATACATTACATATTCTGTAGGGCATGAGCTTTCATGTGTGATACTGATGCAGCAAGTCAACTCATGATATGGATCAACGGACATCGTCCCTGCCTTTGGGTCGAGACACACCACGCGTTTGGCATAAACACTGCACCATCAAAACATACTACCCAGTCCATGGCAGATCGATACCACACGCCTTCCGAGTTGGCTGCCTCTTTTCAAAAGGTGTGGTTAAATTTCGAGGTGATTCGTCAGGGTGACTGAAACAATTTCGGGCTCGGAAGTCTGTCTTCCATTCCAGGCTTGGCGGTGGTATCACTGGGATGTGGTTATTATATAAAATAAAATAAAAAAAAACACTCCTCAGTGATACCACCGGCTAAACAATATGCCGGCGTCGGTCTGATGTTTGACATTTATTGAATGCAAGACATATTCAGCTATGGCAGAGTGGACGCTTGAGTAGATTAACAACGGTGATTGGGATTGGGATGATGTTGAAAATCGCATTTTGGATGCAAGTCCTATTGAACAGGGGTCGCTCGGTAGCATGTCACTTGCAAACGTCAATGGAGATACAAACAGTCTTTCAAGCCCTGAAGATGAAGTAAGTATCATATCAATCATATCTTCAAGGGTATATATGGTTGATGTGGCGGACATAGATATGGAGAATATGGATATAGGAGAGGAACACATTATACAAATAGAATATGACCAGCAGCATGATATTTTTAAAAAAAGACTTTTGTGTCTTTATTCATTATTAAAAGGTGGATAAAATATAATGCAACTAGCAATAGAAACCGACGTCTTTATTCGAGACGGACAAAAAAACAGACCTGCGCCTGAGTACAGACTCTCGTACTTCTGGTACTATTATAATATATACTGCCTAACATTTTTAAATCCTATAATTGCACATCCTGAACCCTCTTTAATTGATTATGAAAAGTTGCAAACTATAGGCCCAGGTCGAGGCCGCACATTAAAAAAACGAAAGCTCGCCTTCGAGAGCCCCGCAGGGGCGAGCAGTGCGAGCGTAGTGCTTGCAGAAAAATCAAACAAGTCGAAACGCTTCACGAACAACGTTGAGCTGACAGCTGACCAAGTCGATATTTTTTTTTTTAAAAAAAGACTATTGTGTCTTTATTCGTTATTTATTTATTTATTTATTTTTTTGAAAAAAAGAGGCAAGGGATAGAAACCCACGTCTTTACTCGAGTCGGATGAAAAACATAGATCTGCGCAAGGAGATAACAGTTTAGGCCTTCAGACTACTCGCTTTTTGAGACAACAGCTGCCTCTGAACAGTTATCAGTGTAGGTGTTGAAGACCTTTGTGATATACTCAATCATCTCAGGTTCCGTGTCATTGTTGTCCCGGAGAACAAAGCTTCGATTGGTAAGTTTGATGGGAGCATCCTTGTCACGCCTCATATGCTGAATGACATTTTCACCTCTTGGCGAAGGATCAAACCGCAACTTCTTAATCTCAATGGGGTCCAGATTAGCGTGATCAGCAAAAAACTGCTTCAACACACGGTCAACCGTCTGTCGTTTCATTGCAAAGATGCGGAATCGTGGTTGAGGGATTTGAAACTTTACAACGATAAAGACTTCCTGCTCTTTGTGCGTACGCGGCATAACTCGATCACGGTTGGCCTCCTGGTGCGCACGCTCACTGTTGACGAGAGCGCCTTTAATGTTCTTCAGCTCAAGTTTGGTCTCGGCGTGGCTGGACAATTCTTTATCAAGCTCGACTTTGGCCACCTGGCGTGCATACTCACTGTTGGCAGGAGCGAGCTTAGTATTTTTCAACTCTAGCTCTTTCTCCTCAAGATTAGATAGAGCCGCATCAAGGTCTGCCTGAGAAGACTCGAGGTCATCCTTGGTGTCCATAAGATCCAGTTGAGTGTTTCTTAGCTCGAGTGTGACGGCAGCCAATTTCCGGCGCAGCTCCTCAATAGAGTCAATAGACTCAATAGACTCAATGGGCTCAATGGCAAGTTCTTCCTGAGATTTAACTAGAAAGAATATATTGAAGGGAAATTAAGTGTTAATGTCCAAAGAAAATGTGTGTTAGGTTGAGCAGAGGATGTGAAGACTTACTAACGGTCATGGTCGCGAATGTCCAGAATTCTTCGAATGAATGAATGAATGAAGAGGCATAATGGAGATTTTCCACGCTAAGGGTATAATTGGAGAGAATCACATGATGAGGAGTGATGCAATGTCGCTCAGATCAATTCAGACGTCAAAGGAAAGGAAAAGGAAAAAGAAAAAGAGATGGCATGATTTCATTGGGAGAAAAATCATTAATTAATTGAGGTATTCGGGATTTGATAAGGAAAGTAAAGAGTGGCATAATTTAATTGGCTTTGGTAAAGAAAGTTGTGATTTGGCAGACCTCCAAGAATTTTCACTGGAAAAAGCCCGTCACATTATCTTCCGAGAACCCAGAAAATAATTTCAAAATCCCACGCCTCCATCGTTCTGTTCACACAATTTGTTGTCCAACACCTTCTTAATCCTCGATTATTTAACAATAACTTATAAAAACACAGCCTCCTAAATATCTCCTATCAAGGTAATGGTGCATCTATTGTAACTTTGTTGAGAGAAGTGCTTCATTCCTCTTTTTTTCAAAAATTGGGACGAAAGCATTGGTGACCAGTATCAATAGTAACGTCAAGTTCCTATCCATACTGTATTTGCTTCGATGCAATGCTCAATGCGTTACACGCCGGAGAGGAAAGATATAGTCGTTGACATATATTCGCAGCCCGAAAACTCAAACCTTCCTTACAGTTTGAGCTTCTTCCTCTCCCTGCCTGGAATGCGGCTATTGTATAGTTGTTAACCATTATATTTTTTAGACATATAGTTAGAATGAAGGATAAGAACCAACGCATCAATCGAATTAAAAGCAAAGAACCAGGGATTAGCTACCTCTTGAGCTTGGCAACCCCAACGAAACTCAGCGCAAAAGATTCGTTCTCGATTATCACAGCCTATTCCCCGATGCCAGGGACAGATGCATCGTTGACGATTGGCACTATTGGAAGACTTTCTATTCCAATGACCAGGAATGGACTCTAGCATTCACAAAGGAGCAATTATCGATCCAAGACGTTAGACGTTGGAGGAACGATCTTTAACTACCAATGATACCAATGACTTGTATTAGGAGTTCAAATATGATTTTTTTTTTTTTTTAAAAAAAAACAACAGATTTGAGGGAGGCTCAACTGGATACCCTTTGGGTCTATTATTTTAGAGGCAGCGGTAGAGACCCAGAGGGTCTACCCTGTGTGCCGTGGAGCGGCATATAGGCCGCTGCTTCGTAAGAGCGATGTCCAAGTGTGGTCTCTAAACGTGGATTTTTAATCGAATCACCCTATTAACACCGCTTTGCTCGTCAATAGAACGAAAGAAACAAGAGCTTAATGGGAATAGACGGGCCACCAGGTCGTCCAACAAGGGTCTGGGCCTTGAAAAGGATACGCCAACCAACGATTCTCGCTTTGAACAGGAAATATTTCTTGAATTAGCAAGTCCTGACGATATCTCGACATCCAGTTCGGCGCCGCCCGCATCTTCCACTTCGAGTTCATCTTCTGGATCAAAGTCTTCGACTTCGAGCAGTTCCAGTCTTTCGCCTAATGAGATATTACATTTGCGAGCTTTCTTCAAAGAAAATTATTATCGATATCTTGGCCCAAGATGGCTCACAGATTCTGGAACAGACGTGGATGAGGTTATGTTTCCATATATTATGAGTATGGCGAGAGAGTCCTTGCTACATTCCTTCATTATCGCAGGCGATATCGATCTACCACCATCTCTTTCTGTTGAAGATCAGACTTACATTCGAGAATAGATTCAGACATCAGACAATAATCATATCGAAACTGCCCTCCTCGAGGATTGGATGCAAAACGAGTTATCACAGTACCTTCTGTCTCCGTCAGACTTAGAAACATTGCTACGGAATGGGGAAAGCAATCTACCAAACCCCGCACATACATATTAAGTATTATGACTTTGTCCTGGGTATGGATCTCTTCGCTAGACTTGGCTTTTCCATCACGGGAATAGCCATGCCAGAGACAAAAGAAGAGGAATTTCTATGAATCCTTATGATGAAAAACCTCAGGCCATTCTATTCCAAGCTTAAGAACGAGAAAACGCTGCTGAATTCAAAGTTTTGAAAGAAAAATTCACGTTAGCGTTGGAGCCGTATCTATGAGTACTTTGATCAGATATCATCATCCGTCAGTACTGGAAGAGCCTAAACAGCAAAACCCTCATATTAGAGACAGAAAGAGGAAGAATCAGCAAAAGAATAATGCGTCAGGGCCAACAAGACCACTTAATAGGAAGCGGAGACAACTCACCCATAATCAGACCAAACGTCTCAATAAGCGTTATGTCGCGGCAAGGCTGTAGAATGCCGAAATCTGTTAAATCAGCAGGGTTGAGCTTTTGTACGGATAAGTTTCCTCTAGTATGAAGAAATGAGAATACATACATGTCCTCATTTCAATTTTTTTTTTTTTTGTACATCAATAAATAACAGCTCAGCAACCATTAACTTTATTCTTTCTCTTGCAGCATTTGCAACTAGCGACTGAGTATGATGGCAATTGAGAGTCAAGAGAGTCTACAACTCTCTCTACCTGCATGCGCATGTTCTTATACTTCTCTGACTGCTTGTGTAGTTTAGTATACTTGTAGATCGTCTCTACGTTGCTTTGTCACGATGTACAGACCCAAATAATCCTAAAGTGCTTATCGCGAACGGCAAGGTAATAGACAAGTCTGAGACATATACACGGAACATTGTCTTCAAAGGTGCTTTATAGACACATTACCTTTTGATCGTCATTTACAATGCTGCCTCCTCGCTGTTGTTAACTCATCAAATGCTGTGTTACCAGCTATTCTCCTTTTGGATATTGTACTACTGTACTTGCGCTTTTCTTTTTTTTTTAAAAAAAAAAAAAAAACATGCAGTGGTAAAAGACCAAAGGCCTACATGGGTTTATTGTCTTCGCCCCTATGTCAAAATATAAACCTTCTGCTGCTGCAAGTTATGTTTCTTTTTGTTGCCTTACGAGGCAAGAGCCAGCTGTGGCTTCGCCACGGTCCCCGGCTCGTATTTATTAAATTGGAGTGGATAAAGGCTGAAAGGGAACAGTGAACATGATCTGTGTGTACGTGAGCTGCGTGATACAAGTGCAACTGTACATAGACTAGGCCATAAAAGGAAGGTGGCAATGATTTTTCACACGGGTAAGAGAACGTAGCAGAGCAATGTAAGCAATACAAGAGAAATAAAGTTTTTTGAGCGTAAAGGTAAAGGGAGGGAGAGGAGAGAGGGTACCTGACCTGAACCTTTGGCGATGACACACATCCATCTCTTTCTCTAAAACTAAAAATTAAAAACTAAAGTGGCCAGGTATTTGGTCTAGGCTATATACATAATGAAGGACTAGAGTAGAAAAGATGACTTGTCAAGGTTGGATGAGAATACTTGAAAGTAACAAAGTCTTAGAAAAAAGGGGGGAGCCTGGGTTTGTGTGGGATGGGTGACAGCTATAAAAAAAGAACATTGTTGATTGATATTCGTCTTCTTTTTTCTTTTTCTTTATCCTCTCAACTCCTCTCTCTCCATTCACCCTCATATCCCCTTTCTTATTCTTTAACGTCTCAGCAGCTGTCATTGCTTTTCTTTTTTTCTTTTCTTTTAATTAATTTAAAAATTGATTCGTTGATTACTTTCATTCAATTCATCTTTCATTCATTTTAATTTTCATTCCCTTGAACTTCATTAACTTCATCTCATAATGTCTTCAATGCTGCTGAGTCGTTTCTCTCTAAACAGGGCCGTACTCCTGCGTACTGCTGCTTCCAGTACTGCGATCCGCTCCATGACCGTCCTCAATTACTCTTCTGCCGCCAAGATCAACCCCAAGCATAAGGCCATCTTTGATCAGCTCGACCTCCAGTTTGAGAATAAAGGTGTCTTCAACGGCACCTGGGGTGGCTCTGGTCCCGTTGTTGAGTCTCTCAACCCTGCTGACGGATCTGTCATTGGACGCATTCAAACTGTAAGTGTCTTGTATAATTTACTTTTTTTTTTTTTTTTTTTTTTCACACGGTCAAACTTGTTTAATAACGCTTTTCTTTGCGTCTGTAATATTATCATATATTTATTGTAAAAGGGTACTGTCCAAGAACTGGATGAGACACTCAAAAAGATGGAGCAGGTCAAGGTTGCCTGGCGCGAGACCCCCGCTCCTAAGCGTGGTGAGATTGTTCGTCAGATGCGTGACGCCTTGAATGAGAAGCTCGACCCCCTGGGTGCTTTAGTCTCGCTTGAGATGGGTAAGATCTTGCCGGAGGGCAAAGGTGAAGTTCAGGAATACATCGACATTTGTGATTACGCCCTGGGCCTGAGCCGATCCTTGAATGGACAGGTCGTTCCCTCAGAGAGACCTGGACATTTCATGATTGAGCAGTGGAATCCTATCGGAACTGTTGGTGTCATCTCTGCCTTCAACTTTCCTGTAGCTGTCTATGGTAAGTGAACTTATTTTAGTATATATTTTCTTTTATTTTATGCTGTTGACATATAAATGTAATGGAAGTAATAGGGATCATGATATAGCTTTTGTTTTCAAAAAAAAAAAAAAAAAAAAAAACTTACAATTGTTACTTTTTTCTTTTTTTCTCATTAGGCTGGAACTCGGCTATTGCCCTTGTCTGTGGTAATCCCGTCTTGTGGAAAGGCGCTCCTTCTACCAATCTCTCCTCGATCGCAGTCACAAAGATCTTGGAGAAGGTCCTTGTCAAAAACGGCCTTCCTGGCGCTCTTTGCTCCTTGGTCGCAGGTGGTGCTGATGTGGGTCAGGCCATGGTCGATGACGAGCGTGTGAAGCTTCTGTCCTTCACTGGCTCAACTGCTGTAGGTCGTAAGGTTGGCGAGACCGTCTCCAAGCGCTTTGGCAAATCCCTTTTGGAGTTGGGTGGAAATAATGCGATTGTCGTCATGGATGACGCAGATTTGGATCTCGCACTGAGGTCTGTTCTCTTTGCTGCTGTCGGTACTGCTGGTCAGCGCTGTACTACGACTCGCCGCTTACTCTTGCACGAGAAGATTCATGATGAGTTCCTCGAGAAGCTTGTCAAGGCTTATCAATCAGTCCGTATCGGTGATCCTCTCGAGGCTGGTACTCTCTGTGGACCTCTCCACACTAAGGCTGCAGTCGAGCAATATAAGAAGGGTATTGAGGCCGTCAAGGCTCAGGGTGGAAAGATCCTGACAGGAGGCAAAGTCTTGGATGACCGCCCTGGAAACTTTGTGATGCCTACGATCACCTCCATTTCCCCAGATGCTGAAGTTGTTCAGAACGAAATCTTTGTTCCCATCCTTCACACCATGAAGGTCAAGGATCTGGACCATGCCATTGAGATCAACAACTCGGTCAAGCAGGGTCTATCTTCATCCTTGTTCACCCGCAACCCTGCACATCTCTTCAAGTGGGTTGGACCCTCAGGATCGGACTGCGGTATTGCCAACGTCAACTTGCCATCGAGCGGTGCAGAGATTGGCTGTGCATTTGGAGGAGAGAAGGAGACCGGTGGTGGACGCGAGTCTGGCTCGGATGCCTGGAAGCAATATATGCGCCGCAGCACTTGTGTCATTAACTACACGGGTGAGCTCCCTCTTGCTCAAGGCATCAAGTTTGAGTAGACAGTTTTTTTTAAAAAAAAAATGATAGACAGATTCTTTTTTGATTATTTTTAAGCCAATCCAAACTTATCCTTCTGTAAATAATACTCTTTTAAAAAATGGTTTTATTTTTTATTTATTAATTTAATTTGCTTTATAAAACCTGTTGAGAAAGCTACTTTTTTTTATGATGTGGCCTCTTGTTCGTCTGGATGCTCGATCGATGCCAAATGTTTCAAGACATCCTTTTTTGTGATCAGGCCGAGCAGTTGCCCATGCTGTGTGCATAATACATACCGTACTCCCTAATGACCATGGAATCATTCATTAACAAACAAAACTTAAGCAGATGTCCACCTTTCCAGTATCCTTTTTTTTTTTTTTTTTTTTTTTTTTTTTTTCACTTTTTCTTACCAGTCGCCTGAAAATAACAATAACCTGATCCATCGGGAACCGGTGTGAGACCGTGATGGGGGTCTGATCCATCCATAATCGGAACTCTATGAACGCTGGGGTGTTTTCCAGAATTGGGACCACGTTTCCCGCAGGGGTATTTCCAGGCAAATTCCTTTTCCTGGCTTCATCGATTGCATACCGAAGCTCAGTTCTGGAGATATATCCAACCAACATCATATCTCGGAGTGAATTCACTACAGGATAACCCTTATAGTGAGTTTCACGTAGCAAACTATCCAAGGAATCCAATGTATTGCCTGTCGCTGTCACTACCACCAAATCTTCTACCGGTGTCATCACCTGAGAAGCTGTCGTATTCAGTCTGTATTCCTCCTTGTCATCCAAGAATGGATATCCACAGAGCAGAATGATGCCATCAAAGATTCCTTCTTTGCCAAATGCATCGCCCACCCATTTACTCGTCATGACTAGAGGAAAAAAAAAGAAAAAAAGAAAAAAACTATCTATTTGCATGTTTTCCTTTTCTTTTCCTTGAACAACCCAAGAATAAACTTTCATCTTCCTTACCAACAATCATGATAGGAAGGACATAGGTGAGTGCGCCTGTCAATTCAAACATGATGATCACCAGGGATACCGTCATACGAGTGACACCTCCCATAAAGGCGGCCGCACCCACCATCGCATACGACCCTGGAGTCACACAGGGCACATCTGGAAGACAAGACGAAAACAACCAAAATCCTGGATGGTTGACCTGCCAGGCTTGAACCATCATCCCCAAGGCTCGCCCAAAAAGTGCCCCAATTACCATCGAAGGCATGAAGATCCCCGCAGGAATCGCCAGACCGAACGTTAAAATCGTGAGCAGACCCTTGACACCACTAGCAGATAAGAGCGCAAAAACTCGAAGGCCAACACCTCCATTACTTTTTTTTAAAAAAAAGGGAAGAAAGGATTGTTTTTTTCAAATCATTTTAGTATTTAAATTTAAGGATATTTTATCCGCCTACTTTCAAATACCAATACTTACTCGCAAAGTCCATGATAATTCGCTCCACTATCACATTCGCGGAATAAATTCGCTAGTAACTCTGGAGATTGCACTCTTTTTTTTTTTTTTTTTTTTTTTTTTTTTTTAAACGGGGGGGCAGTGAGGAAGATAAAAAAAAAAAGAAGGATGAATGTTAATGAGTTATGGCTTTGCTTCTTTTCTTCTTTTCTTCTTTTCGTTGGTTTGGTTCTCATTACCTGGTAAAGATGTTCAGATACCCAACGATCGCTGTTAGTAAGCACACCACAATAACCTCATAAACAGGGTAAACCCTTAGCCATGATGTTTTACGGAATGCTGCGAGCCTCAAGTTCATCTTGATGAAGAATGCACCCCAAAGACCCTAACATCCATTGAAGGCCAACAAAATCTTTTTTAGTCCATTTGGTTTTTGTAGTATTCTTGTCAGTAACAAGGCCATAAAAGATTTTTTTTTCTTTTTTTTTTTTTTCCTCTTCTTACCCCAAGGATCCCCAAGAGCATATAAAAAAACATCTCAAACCCATGCCAACCTCGATCATACGAAACTTGAAAGACCACCAACTTCTCTGTTCTGAATGGATCCATCAACTTCAACGCCACGGCTGCAGCCATTGCACAAAAGAAAGAATGCCACATCGTATCCGACGAGAAATAATAAGACATCTCTTCCATTGCAAACACAACACCTCCGATCGGTGCTCCAAATGCTACAGATATCCCTGCTGAAGACGCTGCACTCAAAATTTCTCTCATCTTGGCCTCATTCCTCTTGAACTTTTGAAACACTCGTGGTATAATATTCCCAATACAACATGAAATATGGACTAAGGGGCCCTCCTTCCCTAATGAAAGTCCTGCAGAGGTGGAAAGGACCAAGGTCACAGTCTTGATCACCAAGGTCTCCAATCCTAAATAATGTCGAATGACAAATCCTCCCAAGATAGTCTTCACTTCTGGAATGCCCGAGCCTTCTGCATAGGGTGCAAATGTCTTGACTAGATAGGCAGCGGTGGTAGCAAACATCAAAGCGAATAGAATGTAAAAGAAGTAGCCGACAATAAATGATGCTCTGTTCCAAGGAATCCAGTCTGTACATTCCTCCATGTCTACATATCGAAACAAAAAAAAAAAAAAAAAAAAAAAAAAGGCATCCATGTTAGCATGTAAAAAAAAAAAAAGAATCCGCTTTCACTTTCATTTGCACTCATTTTCATTTTTTTTTTTTTTTTTTTTTTTTTTTTCTCCATCGACTAAATTACCGTCTAGACCCCAACAACAAAAGTTACGACTGAGATAAAATGCGGTACTACAGTATCCTTCTTTGATGTCGCCCAACCATTGTGAGGCAATGTCTGATCCTCCTGCTACAATGCCCGCTGCGATTCCAACCGCCAATACGACCGCCCAACTTTGAGCCCAATCAAAAATGATGGCAATCTGGCCCGCCACTCCCGGCATTCGTTGAATTCTCCGAATCCGTTGTCTCTCGTCTGCGTAATCATGGATCCAATCTATGAATATATATATATGTTTAATAAGAGAAATAGATCGATCAAATTATTTTATGTTTATAACGTTACGAGTATGTACAGGCAACGAACGGCTAAAATAAAATAGAAATAAAAACCTTACCAATGGTTGTAAAGTCATCATATGCAACACGCATGCCTGTGCCTTCAACAACCCAATCCACAGCATCATCATGATATGGATTTATGCCTCCAGGATAAATCGGACTCGGCCCATTTGAATACGATCCCGAGCCTGATCCTGATCCTGATCCATGATCCATACTCCCTATCGATCCATTCCAACCTGCTGCTCCTACCCTTCCATTTCCTTCACTTTCCAATTCCGATACTCCTGGATTAGTTCCGTCAGCATTCAATGGATCTGAGGTCCTTGCTGCGGTTGGTGCTGCTGACGCTGCTGGTGATGTTGCTGATACTCCTCCTCCTGTTCCTAACACAGTAGTTCTAGGGAAGAACATTTTACTTGAGTGACGTGGATTGAGTCTAGAGGCAGATGCAAATGGTCCGATACCTAAGCGTGGTGATTTCATATGACTGCTGCTTTTGATACTACTATTATTGCCGTAGTTGTTGCTGCTACCACCACCGCTACTACTAATACCAATACCACCGCTATTGTCTCCAGTACCAAGGACTGCTGCAGCACTAGCTCCTAACCGGCTCAGAAATGAGTTACTTCGACTACGCCTTCCCCCTTGATGGTCTGGTAGATTTTTGTTTTTGAAGAAATTGAAATCATGGTGACTCCTAAACAATAACAACAGCAACAAAAAAAAAAAAAAAAAAAAAAAAAAAAAAAAACGAAGCTTTCCAGTTAATGACACAAATGTATTTTATTGCAATATTACAAGTTAAAAAAAAAAAAAAAAAAAAAAAAAAAAAAGAATACAATGTAATATAATATCAAGGCACTTACTTCAATCCCCGGATAGTTTCTTGAGGATGCAGCGGTGTTTCCGAGTTGGTATCTTCATCATCATCTCGGTCTTCTTCTTCCCGGTCTTGATGAGTTTCAATATCATGTATCTCTTCAATTCCAACTTGTTCCTCGTCACCTCTTTTCTTTCTAAGATGCCTATGCTGCTTATTATGATCATTCGAGCCCGTACCTCCATTGTATTCCGATTGTATCAGCTCCTGAAACCTTTTCTTCTGTACATTCGATGATACTCTTCCTGCTCCTCTTCTTCCATTTCCTACTCCCTCCTCTTTTCTTTCTCCTTCTCCTCTCTCATCATCGTTATCATCATTATCATCATCTGGATCAAATAATGGTTTCCTTCTAAATCTTGACCCTCCCAATGCTAGTCCTAAGGGCATAGATCCTTTCTGGATTGCAGGACTCGTTCCAGGTGGCTGTGTTCGACCGGAGGAGGATAGGGATAGGGAAGGAGAGGATGATAGAGGTAAGATTGCTGAATTGGCATTGAATATAGAAGGAGATTCCTTGCGTTGGATTGTTTCCATTGGTCTATTGCTGTCATCGTTTCCCGAAGAATGTTGTGACCATGACCCTGGTCCTGACGCTGACGCTGACGCTGATCGTGACCTTGACTCTGATCCTGATCTGGGACGAGGGGCTTCTGGCGTACTAGAGGACGTTATTCCAATTCCTGCCTCTGTGCCAGCCTCTGCCTCTACTCTTGTCCCTACTCCTAATTCTGTTCCTGTTCTTGAGCCAGTGTTGGCTATAGGTGAATCAATGGCGTTAAAGAATGCGTCGACTTCGTCCTGGCGTTGGTTACTCATGGTTTCTGATCTTTCTGTCGTGTTTGTATATATGTGCATACGCGTGTATGGGCTTTGAGTGACAGTACCAAGTATATGATGAGACAAAGGAGATGAGAAGCGTAAGGAGGCGGAGGGTGGGAAAAAAAGATATGAAGGGGCTGTAAGGCAAAGGAGGTTCCTTCCGAGGAATGCAACGTGTTAAACTTGTTCCTCTTATTTGAATTTGTTCCTTTCTCTCTCAGGGATGAATTAATGAACAAACAATTGTAACAAAATGAATGAAGTGGAATGAAATGAATAAATTGACGGCTTGGTGCCAGCCAGCCAGCCAACTCGAAGTAAATCAATCAAAATCAGTCAAGTCCAAGTCCAGTCTAGTGGCTCTTCTACTCAATTGCTCCTTTGCTTTAAAACGTTTTCGTTCGCCTAATCTTCCTATCCTTTTTTAGTTCCTGATCCTCGAAACCCTGCTTGCGAGTGATCAAAGGATGAAGAAAAGTGTTTAATGCGAAATGAAACGAGACCAAATAAGTGAAACGTGCATTTATTAATGCACATCATTGCCTCACTCTCAATCGCCCCAGCCCACAAAAAAAATCAAAAGCTAAAAAAAGCCACATGCCAATGCTAAATGCCAAATTTATAGGTGGTTCACAAAGGATTTGTTCTCTGCATACATTTTCTGCGATATTTGCAGGAGTTGTGGATACAGAAGCTTTTTTACACCTCTTTATCATCTTTCTAGCAACGGCCTCATGGCACCGACTGTTGATAATGTAATGTTTAATAATATATTGACCAAAGCATACCCAAGAAGTACAACAGCAAGTGTGATAGTATCATTTGCCCGTCCGCACGTTCGCATCATCCTCGATATTAATTTCCATAACGTACATCCTTATTTTATCATCATCGTCATCACTATTAAATACTCACGAACAAGTTTTCATAGTGCTGGGTAGATTGTAAGGGTACTGGCTTTGAGGGCAGGGTCATTGTCTTCGCTAGTTTTGGCAAAAAGACACTTTGCCTTCTGATATCGTTTTTAAAATACTGAAGCTTTGACTACACGCTTTTCTCAGGCCAGTTCGCCTCGGGATGTAGCAAGTTGATATAGACGATCTTTTTATGAACATCCACAGATCTTTTATTACGTGTCGTGCGCACCACAACATAGTATATTCCTTCTGCTTGCTTTCTGGTAACTTTGCGGTGCTGCATTATACTATGAAGCCCCAAGAGGGACCGAGGCTCCCCGCAAAGGATTTTCACGGAGAGAAGCATCTGGGCCAGGCTCAATTCTGCACGGGCAATGATGTTTCTTCTCATCAAGCATATCCATGGTCAGTCTTGCAAGCTTTTAAACGAGGCAACAAAGATGAGAACATGGTGTGGACCCAGATGCCACACCAAAGAATTATACATTTCTGAATCCCTTTGAATGGGGTCTGGCGCTCGTACTTAGGATATGAAGTGACAGACGCGCCTAGAAAAGTAGTTCAGCCATCACTTGTTAGATGAAAGTCCGCAGCTCGGCTCGACAGACTAGGATCAGATTTCACAAACACTTTTCTAGACAGTATGGTAACAAGTTCACCTTGCTATCATCTATACTAAATTTTCAATTTTCAGAGTGCATTTTAACGCTTTTTTTTTTTTTTTTTTTACACTGTTTTATTAATGGATTGCTTGCTATCTAGCTATCTAACTTACCTGGCTACTATTCTAAGCTACAAGAAGCCAGACTCTTAGCCACCTTGGAAAGTGCTTTCCTTTGTCACCATCGAAAAGTCTCTCCAAGATGTTGTCCGGAGCACACCACGTGGAGGTGGTCTGGCATATCGTGCTCCGTTGGTCAGGCCCCATGGCCTTGCAAACGCCCGCACACACACACACACATATATTTACCCATTCCCATTCCCATTCCCTTTCCCAGTCGAAGAGGCTCCGCCACCGCATGGCTCATTCAAGAACCAGCGTAGGCTCATGCCCGTTCGGACCCACCTTAGATATGCATCGATTGTTGCATCTTGGATGTGCATTGTTGCTATGTTAAGAGTGCTTTGTGTTAGTAAGAGTTTTTTTTTATGTTTTTCTGGCTTGAGGTTTTTTTTTGTTTTTTTTATGTTTTTCTGATTTATGTTTTTTTTTTTTTTTTTTTTTTTTTTTTTTTGGCTTTTCTTTTCTTGACTTTTTTTATTTTTCTTTTCTTGGATTAAGATTAATTTATTTGGTGTTTTTTTTTTTTTTTTTTTTTTTTTTTTTTTGGTTTTTTTTCTTTGAATTATCTTTATTTATTTTTCATCGTTGATTTTTCTTGTTTTTTGTTTGTTTTCTTTTTTTGTTTCTTTGTTTCTTCTTTTGTTTCTTCTTTTGTTTCTTTGTTTTCTTTTTTTGTTTCTTTGTTTCTTCTTTTGTTTCTTCTTTTGTTTCTTTGTTTTCTTTTTTTGTTTCTTTGTTTCTTCTTTTGTTTCTTTGTTTTCTTTTTTTGTTTCTTTGTTTTCTTTTTTTGTTTCTTTGTTTTCTTTTTTTGTTTCTTTGTGATTTTGGATTTTTTTTTTTTTTTTTTTTTTTTTTTTTGGAGGCGTTTGTTTTGGCTTCATGGATTGTTCGGCCTTTTTTTGGTTTCGTTCTTCAGCTAGTGGTGCCGAGCTTTCAGTACCAGCGCCTTTTAGGGTGTGCTGTGGGAAATGGTCTGGCCATTATGGAGTTGCTCGAGAGGCCTTTGCCATCTAGTCATCATGCCCAGGAGGCGGGCTGGCCGGTTGGTCATTAAGAGCTGATCGAATGTGGTAGCCCGGCCATTTGTCTAGGGCCGTTTGAGCAGGACCGTTTGGATACAGCTGCTTGTTTGAGTGCGGCTGTTTGGGTGCGGCGGCTGTTTGAGCGCGGCTGTTTGAGCGCGGCTGTTTGAGCGTGGCTGTTTGAGCGTGGCTGTTTGAGCGTGGCTGTTTGGATGCGGCGGCTGTTTGTTTGAGCACGGCTGTTTGGATGCGGCAGCTTCGCTGTGAGCTATAAAGCTCCAGCTGCTTTCTATGGGTTCATGTCGTTTACAGTCTAATTGTGGAATGAAAAGAAAGAGATAGGCAGGGAAAGAAACATCAGAACAAGAACAGTGCAGCACAGAGCAAGAAGGTTGAGAACTTCAGTAGGAGTGTGTATTTGGAGAGTGTTGCTTACCTTTAATCTTGGTTGAGGAGGCCGATGGTCGAGGAGACCGAAGAGAAAGAGAAGAGAAAAGAAAAAAAAAAAAAGAAGAGAGTCAAAATTGGCTTTTTTTATTATTTTTTATGTTCGCGAAAGAAGAGGAGAAGTGATTGGATTTCAAAAGCACGATGTACTAAGTACCTTGCTTGCTGTACGCTCAAGAGCGACCAATAAAATGCAAACAACAACAATAAAAAATAAAAAATATACGTGTCTTTGATGTCATCTGTCATATTTCATATGATAATGAAGAGACTCTCACGATTAGAGATGGGAAAAACACTCTGTCTTCAAGACTCGCAATAAAGGCCTGTCCACAACCAACCAGAGCATGAGCTACATTGATCTCGAGTTATTTACTCTTGTTGGTAAAGGGAATCATCTTCTCAATCCTCTTCTTCTATTCTCTTTCTTCGGCCCTAACAAGAGATGGGATGAACTGTACTTCGGCAGATTGGCGTTTTTCCAGAGTGTGATAGAAAATAACACATGACAATCCTCAGAATACTTCTGCGCCTTTTTTTTATTTTTTGTTTTTTATTTTTTTATTTTCATGCAAGGCAATATAGAATATATAAAGATTAGTGAATAGCTGATTAGGCGGTGCGTTTATAATTCCTTTGTCTGAAGGTGAAATAAAGTATAGATATACCAACATTTATGTATCGAAAATTTATAAAAGCACACAATCGTATCGAAGGAATGACGTGTCGTATCTCTTTGGCGTTCTGAAAAGGAAAAAAAGGAAAAAAAGGAAAAAAAGGAAAAAAAGGAAAAAAAGGAAAAAAGGAAAAAAAGAAAAAGAATCTGCTCGGCGAAGCACAGTTCTCACAATAGTCTATCCTATTCCTTGTTAGAAATGAAGAGGGAGAAGAGAAGAAGAGAATTAAGTAGAAAGTTAGACTGGTAGTGCCTGATGGGCCCCATTGCCAAGCAAAAAAAAAAAAAAGGTACTCGAGCTTAATGCTGGTGAAAAATGGGAGTATGCGAGTGTTGATAAGCTATTGTGCATTGAATCCTGTCCTTTTACTTTAGTCGCATCACACTGCTCACTGTCCTTTAGTCTCTCTTTGTTGTACACCATGCAAAGAGAGCAATGTGGCTCGTGCTCTTGTTTGTAGACAGGCAGGTTGTTGTTTGTATGATTTTGCAGATCATTGAGGATAGAATGTTATTAATGCTCTTTCCATCCCACCTTCACCCGTGAGAGTTTTTTCTTTCTCCACCTTGCAAACATATGAAAATCGACGGATGATATCACAGGTGCACTGATTATCCAATTTTAATATCCGCTATGCCGCTTCTTTTTTTTTTTTTTTTTTTTTTTTTTTTGCACACATGTTCTAGAGCGCAAAAAAGCATATCCATTATTCACTCAATACTTTGAAATCGCAAATTGGTTTCACTTCAGAGCGATGTCAAAAACCACTGATCGCACATCCCTTCGCCCTTTACTCGCGAGTGCCTTCGATAAACAATAGACTTTTTACTTTTCTTTTCCTTTTTCTCCCCAACACGCAGCAACTAAGAAGTAACAAAAGAAAAAAATAAAAAGCAAATAACAGAAAAACAGAGAAAATTATGGGATAAAGAAACACAACAACAAGACAACACCTGTCAAAGTAACTACAGGCTCCCTCAATCAAAGCAAACACAGACTCCTCCAACCAAAGCAAACATACCCAGCCTCAACCAAATCACCAAAGGCAGTGCCAGTCATAACAAACACAGGGCGCCTCAAGCAAAACAAACACGCTAAAGGCACCCAAAAAGCATCCAATAGCCTACGCATATCAAGACTACGAACCTCTAAAGCACGAAAGCAAAAGTCTTTTTGGCTAAGAGTCTGGCCGTCTTTGGGATAGGATGCATCTCAGGAGTACCAATAAACATTGCTTGTCTGAAATATTGGTAGATTCTTGTCCTTGATCAGTGTGAGCGCAGTTGTTCCTTCAAAACTTATCACAGGAATATGTCAATAAGTAGTAAACTATCTTAACCTTGCTTAATAACGCTCTGCCATTATACATAGAAGGTTCAGCCTATTCCAGATGCGATCCTTATTATCTGTTACCAGAATCGCCAGGCATGATATTGATTTGTCACCTTCCCCTTTTAATAGCTTTTTGTACTCACGCTGTCTTCTCCACGCTCACCCAATCCGTCGCGACGCCCTCAGTTATGGCGTATCACATAGTCGGTTAGTCTCAATGGACACACACATATTTGTTGACTATATGACTTGGACAATGTCCAGTTTATATTTTGGTCTTTTGGTCAGCGCTTTAAAAATGTGGTATTCGGAGCTTTCCCTACCTTTTAATATATGCAGCTGTAAAATCAACATAACCTGTTCCAGTCGGTCAAACAGCTTAAAGAAAAAAAAAGAGTAAGAATAAGTTAAGTCTATCGCACAGAACGACGACCATAATAAACGAAAAGGCTACAAGAGCTAGGAGGAGCCAGAGATGGATTCATTGTTTTGTTCTTGATTAGCCCTTAGGCGTATTATATTACCCTGAGAGTTAAACAAACGTGCTCAAATAGCACAAGCGGTAAAGATGTGGTTCTTGTTTATAATAATAATAATAATAATAAAAAACAATGATAACAACAGGTACAGTGGCAGTAGCAGTACATAGTCTAAAATGAGTTTAGGCTGTAGCATAAGAGAGGCTACTTTAAAGGCAAAGAGCATCCATGTTTTTTACTCCGTCGTGCATACATACCAAAGAATGTGCATGGGCACAACGTTTAAAATTTTCCTGCTTGTTTACCATTCCACTGCTGTTGTTAGTGAGCCACATAACAATCTTACCTGCCCGAATGGCGCCTGGTAGATGGTCGAAACAAAGGACACATCCATTTTTCTTCCTTTCTGAGTGGGATAGCTATATAACGATCATATCGGTAGGTTTTGGTTCTTTAGTCTGATTACAGTAATCGATTTTGTGCATTTGTTGAAAGAACATTAAAACACGATCAGATCTGCCTTTACCAGTGCAGCCCTTATTCCTCTGAAAGACCTTCAACCTGTAAAGAGGTAAAGATTACTGACCCTACTTTTCCTGTATTTAAAATAAAATAGCTCTACAACTGTTCTTTTTTTTTTTTTTTTTTTTTTTTTTTTTTCGAGAAACGATATCGCGCATTGTTCTTTTTCGTTTTAGTAGCATACCTTAAAATTTTATGTGCTCAGTTGCTTACACAGTTACATGACCCCAGTTATATTGTCAAGCCGTGTCAATGCGATATCCCTATCATTAACTTAGGGCTATGAGTGGTAGTTGTGTCCCGTTTCAGATGTCTATTATGCTGTAGTGCGTTCACATTTTAAAAAACACACTATTATTCTGAGTAGTGCTCAGAATATTGACCAGCATCGGAGAGTATAGTTAATAAAGGGAGCGAGACGGAAAATATCCACAATAGTTACCCTTTAGTCTACTTGGCCTGCTGAACTGTAAGTTAAAAGAGACAAAAATGATAACAGGACTAGCACGGCCACATCTATCGAGACTATTGAAGCTTATTGACATTGGACATTTCACATTCACATTTGCTTGCCGATCTATCAACCCTGTTTATTTGTTTATATATACTATCACCAAATACCTCTTCTCGGACGCGCTGAATATGGCTCGTGCTCACATAATTAATCTACATTCATTAGCCGGTTAAAGTTTAGCAAGGATGATCTCAAAACGCTCTCAAGTGCTACATTGTATACCCTCCCATTGACTTTCTGACTATTTTTTAGGATACGATTGAATTGAGACGCGAAGACGACCTAAAAACCAATTTAAAAATTCAGAATCATATGTTTCTCGTTTCATTTCTTAAATCGGATGGAATTATTCAAAATAGAATAGAAAATCCTACCCAGAAAGTCATTGGGAGGGGGGTGTCGCATCTGGAATAGGCTGAACCTTCTATGTATAATGGCAGAGCGTTATTAAGCAAGGTTAAGATAGTTTACTACTTATTGACATATTCCTGTGATAAGTTTTGAAGGAACAACTGCGCTCACACTGATCAAGGACAAGAATCTACCAATATTTCAGACAAGCAATGTTTATTGGTACTCCTGAGATGCATCCTATCCCAAAGACGGCCAGACTCTTAGCCAAAAAGACTTTTGCTTTCGTGCTTTAGAGGTTCGTAGTCTTGATATGCGTAGGCTATTGGATGCTTTTTGGGTGCCTTTAGCGTGTTTGTTTTGCTTGAGGCGCCCTGTGTTTGTTATGACTGGCACTGCCTTTGGTGATTTGGTTGAGGCTGGGTATGTTTGCTTTGGTTGGAGGAGTCTGTGTTTGCTTTGATTGAGGGAGCCTGTAGTTACTTTGACAGGTGTTGTCTTGTTGTTGTGTTTCTTTATCCCATAATTTTCTCTGTTTTTCTGTTATTTGCTTTTTATTTTTTTCTTTTGTTACTTCTTAGTTGCTGCGTGTTGGGGAGAAAAAGGAAAAGAAAAGTAAAAAGTCTATTGTTTATCGAAGGCACTCGCGAGTAAAGGGCGAAGGGATGTGCGATCAGTGGTTTTTGACATCGCTCTGAAGTGAAACCAATTTGCGATTTCAAAGTATTGAGTGAATAATGGATATGCTTTTTTGCGCTCTAGAACATGTGTGCAAAAAAAAAAAAAAAAAAAAAAAAAAAGAAGCGGCATAGCGGATATTAAAATTGGATAATCAGTGCACCTGTGATATCATCCGTCGATTTTCATATGTTTGCAAGGTGGAGAAAGAAAAAACTCTCACGGGTGAAGGTGGGATGGAAAGAGCATTAATAACATTCTATCCTCAATGATCTGCAAAATCATACAAACAACAACCTGCCTGTCTACAAACAAGAGCACGAGCCACATTGCTCTCTTTGCATGGTGTACAACAAAGAGAGACTAAAGGACAGTGAGCAGTGTGATGCGACTAAAGTAAAAGGACAGGATTCAATGCACAATAGCTTATCAACACTCGCATACTCCCATTTTTCACCAGCATTAAGCTCGAGTACCTTTTTTTTTTTTTGCTTGGCAATGGGGCCCATCAGGCACTACCAGTCTAACTTTCTACTTAATTCTCTTCTTCTCTTCTCCCTCTTCATTTCTAACAAGGAATAGGATAGACTATTGTGAGAACTGTGCTTCGCCGAGCAGATTCTTTTTCTTTTTTTCCTTTTTTCCTTTTTTTCCTTTTTTTCCTTTTTTTCCTTTTTTTCCTTTTTTTCCTTTTCAGAACGCCAAAGAGATACGACACGTCATTCCTTCGATACGATTGTGTGCTTTTATAAATTTTCGATACATAAATGTTGGTATATCTATACTTTATTTCACCTTCAGACAAAGGAATTATAAACGCACCGCCTAATCAGCTATTCACTAATCTTTATATATTCTATATTGCCTTGCATGAAAATAAAAAAATAAAAAACAAAAAATAAAAAAAAGGCGCAGAAGTATTCTGAGGATTGTCATGTGTTATTTTCTATCACACTCTGGAAAAACGCCAATCTGCCGAAGTACAGTTCATCCCATCTCTTGTTAGGGCCGAAGAAAGAGAATAGAAGAAGAGGATTGAGAAGATGATTCCCTTTACCAACAAGAGTAAATAACTCGAGATCAATGTAGCTCATGCTCTGGTTGGTTGTGGACAGGCCTTTATTGCGAGTCTTGAAGACAGAGTGTTTTTCCCATCTCTAATCGTGAGAGTCTCTTCATTATCATATGAAATATGACAGATGACATCAAAGACACGTATATTTTTTATTTTTTATTGTTGTTGTTTGCATTTTATTGGTCGCTCTTGAGCGTACAGCAAGCAAGGTACTTAGTACATCGTGCTTTTGAAATCCAATCACTTCTCCTCTTCTTTCGCGAACATAAAAAATAATAAAAAAAGCCAATTTTGACTCTCTTCTTTTTTTTTTTTTCTTTTCTCTTCTCTTTCTCTTCGGTCTCCTCGACCATCGGCCTCCTCAACCAAGATTAAAGGTAAGCAACACTCTCCAAATACACACTCCTACTGAAGTTCTCAACCTTCTTGCTCTGTGCTGCACTGTTCTTGTTCTGATGTTTCTTTCCCTGCCTATCTCTTTCTTTTCATTCCACAATTAGACTGTAAACGACATGAACCCATAGAAAGCAGCTGGAGCTTTATAGCTCACAGCGAAGCTGCCGCATCCAAACAGCCGTGCTCAAACAAACAGCCGCCGCATCCAAACAGCCACGCTCAAACAGCCACGCTCAAACAGCCACGCTCAAACAGCCGCGCTCAAACAGCCGCGCTCAAACAGCCGCCGCACCCAAACAGCCGCACTCAAACAAGCAGCTGTATCCAAACGGTCCTGCTCAAACGGCCCTAGACAAATGGCCGGGCTACCACATTCGATCAGCTCTTAATGACCAACCGGCCAGCCCGCCTCCTGGGCATGATGACTAGATGGCAAAGGCCTCTCGAGCAACTCCATAATGGCCAGACCATTTCCCACAGCACACCCTAAAAGGCGCTGGTACTGAAAGCTCGGCACCACTAGCTGAAGAACGAAACCAAAAAAAGGCCGAACAATCCATGAAGCCAAAACAAACGCCTCCAAAAAAAAAAAAAAAAAAAAAAAAAAAAAAAAATCCAAAATCACAAAGAAACAAAAAAAAAAACAAAGAAACAAAAAAAGAAAACAAAGAAACAAAAAAAGAAAACAAAGAAACAAAAGAAGAAACAAAGAAACAAAAAAAGAAAACAAAGAAACAAAAGAAGAAACAAAAGAAGAAACAAAGAAACAAAAAAAGAAAACAAACAAAAAACAAGAAAAATCAACGATGAAAAATAAATAAAGATAATTCAAAGAAAAAAAACCAAAAAAAAAAAAAAAAAAAAAAAAAAAAAAACACCAAATAAATTAATCTTAATCCAAGAAAAGAAAAATAAAAAAAGTCAAGAAAAGAAAAGCCAAAAAAAAAAAAAAAAAAAAAAAAAAAAAAAACATAAATCAGAAAAACATAAAAAAAACAAAAAAAAACCTCAAGCCAGAAAAACATAAAAAAAAACTCTTACTAACACAAAGCACTCTTAACATAGCAACAATGCACATCCAAGATGCAACAATCGATGCATATCTAAGGTGGGTCCGAACGGGCATGAGCCTACGCTGGTTCTTGAATGAGCCATGCGGTGGCGGAGCCTCTTCGACTGGGAAAGGGAATGGGAATGGGAATGGGTAAATATATGTGTGTGTGTGTGTGCGGGCGTTTGCAAGGCCATGGGGCCTGACCAACGGAGCACGATATGCCAGACCACCTCCACGTGGTGTGCTCCGGACAACATCTTGGAGAGACTTTTCGATGGTGACAAAGGAAAGCACTTTCCAAGGTGGCTAAGAGTCTGGCTTCTTGTAGCTTAGAATAGTAGCCAGGTAAGTTAGATAGCTAGATAGCAAGCAATCCATTAATAAAACAGTGTAAAAAAAAAAAAAAAAAAAGCGTTAAAATGCACTCTGAAAATTGAAAATTTAGTATGAGGCTTCTTCACCATTGAGGCACTTCTATCGTCTCCTGCACTAGTGTTTTGAGTACCGATGGAGCAATACTCAAAGGATGTACTATCCATCTTTAGTATTCATGATCTTGTTTGAAGGTGAAATAAAGTATCAACATTTATGTGTCGACCATTAAAAAGCACACAATCGTATCGAGGGAATGACATGTCGTATCTCTTTAGCGTTCTGAAAAGGGAGAATGAAAGTCTGTTCGGACAAAAACTGCCGCAGTACAGTCCCCACGATAGCCTACCTTATTCCTTGTTAGTAGGGAGTCAAGTAGCATACTTGGGTAAGTGCCTGATGAACCCTATTACTTAGAACCAAAAGGTACTCGAGTGAAAAACGGAATGTGGGAATGTTAACTAGCTTGTGCTCTGAAACTCCAGTTGCAGCACATTGCTCACTATTTTTCTTTCTTTGTTGAATGTCATGTAAAGAGAGCAGTGTGGCTCGTGCTCTTGTTTGTAGACAGGCAGATTACTGTATGTATGACCCTGCATGTATTTGAGGATGGAATGCTGTCCTCTTTCTCCACCTTGTAAGCATATGAAAATTGAGGAATGGTATCACAGGTGCGCAGATTATCCATTTTCAATTCCTTTTTTTTTTTTCCTTGAATAAGCTCTCTAGAAGTCGCAAAAAATCAAAATGCTGAATATACAGTATAGACGTTGGTCAATCTGTGATTTCTCGGTAAAAAACATCCGAGATTCTAATCACTCTAAATTGAATAAAGACTTCCATTGACTAAAATATTATATCTGCACTCCTGCTACTCACAGATGGGTGAATCCTCAAATTTATTTATGTTGTTTATTTATGGTGCAGCGTTTTAATTGTTTTTATTTAAATTGTTCCAATGAATAAAAAAATTGTTTGCAAATTTTGTCCAAGTGGGTCATGCGGAATTAACCATGAATTTTGTGGGACATGAAAAGGACATGGTGTTTGGATATTTGTGACAGTTGATTCGGTTATCATGTTTGAAAAATGGATACTATTTCAGACATTCGGATAACTTTTAGGATAATTTTATTAGCTTAAATTGGATAAAGCTTATTTCCCATCGGAGCAATGCAAATTAAAATGGATAAAACAATTAAAAACTTTGTATCATTGAAGGTACCTCTTGAGACAGACATCTAATTTCACAGTCGCCTTATTTTTTCGTCATTTTTAATTTATAGATTTTTCTTTAAAGGTACTAATCATTAATAACCATAGGGTTGCGACGGTTGACCGTGAGGAGGCATGAAACGACGTGGTGTTGGTGGCGCTCGCGAAGGATGACCATGCCTTCCATCATGTCCACTGCCATATCCACCATGATGAGGACCTGTCATATGTCCTGGAGGGCCCATATGACTACCACCTGCTGCACCCGTCCAAGGTGCACCGCCCCATGGAGTTGCACCCCAATGTCCAGCCCCCGAAGATGAAGGATGGGGTGGTTGTTGCATCGGTGGCATTGCTGCATGGTGAGGTGCCACAGGTTGATGCGATGGATGAGGTTGGTAGTGTGGATGATGGTATGTTCCTGGGTGTGAAGGTGTATAATGAGGGTTACTGTATCCACTGCTTCCACTGTTGCTGCTTCCATTATAGCTATTATAGTGTGGCCGATTGTTTGCTGTGGATGATGCTGTTGGAGGCACTGCTGCAGCTGCAGCCGTAGGTTTGGGTCGACTACGTTGCATCATCAACTCTTTAAAGCTGTTTGATATCGATATCACATCTTTGCACTCCTTCTTGGTCGGTCCCTTCAGCAAATAGTGTTCAGGGAAAACCTTAATATTCCATTCCTCGATTGGGCGGTTAGCGCCAATCTTGAATAACAGTAAGAAATATCCAGGGAACTTGCGATCCAGTGTATATCCATAAACTGCTGCTCCTGGCTTAGCTTTTGTCTGTGTTTCCAATGTTTGTCCTTGAAGAAGAAAAGGAGACAGTTTGAAAAAATAAATCAATAAAATAATCAATTTGTAGCGTAGAAGTATGCATACAAGAAAGACACTTACTAAGATCAGAGGCATTCTCTTTGTATTTTGGACTGGCCATGAGTGCTTCCGTCTTGCTCAGGATTGCCTCAATGTGAGAAACAAGCAACTCATCCAGATCACTGTATTTTGCATTGTCAATCTTCAGAGTCTTGCCCAAACTGACATCATCTTTCTTGTCCATCTCCAGGATATCTATTGATAATATTAAAAAGGAATTAGTTTTCATTGGATTAAAAGAACAGCGCCTTCGGGGAGGAATAAAAATCCATAAAGTGGGGTGTAGTTTACCAAAAATCTTGTAGAGGTCATCTGCAAGCTTGACAGTAACTGAAAGATGGTCAGTACCGCGAGTGGAAGGTCGAATCACCAGTTCGCCACGAGGCTTATCTGACAAGAACTTGGTAGCGTCCTCTGCGTTCATGTTCTTGAACAAGGGGTGGGTGATCTTGCGGGGCAAGAAATTGCTCTTCTTTACAGTCGTCTTCACTTGGCTCTGAGCCTTCTCTTCCTCAAATTGATCAAACATTCTGTCAATTGGAAGCATTCGCAGCTTCAAATCGCCTTGCCGCAACTCGCTTTCCTTACATGACAGGTCTGCAAAGAATTTCTCCTTATCCAGTCGAAGGATCTTGACCTGCAACGTCTGACCGTCCGACAATACATCTGAAATAGATCCAATCTTCGAATCTGAAATATTTTGTATAGCCAGGATACCGTCGATACCACAATCCAGACGACACATCGCATTTCTGTCACGGATTCTCGTTACCAATGCAGGGACAATAAAACCCTCCTTGAGCGTCTGATCTGTCTCTCCTGTGAGCATTGTGAAGATCAATTCTGGTGATGCACGCTCGAAGGGCCGGCGAGGGTCTTTAAAGGGATGCTGTAATTCTACCTTAATCATCTCCAAGGTCATACGCTTAGGCTTGTGTTGAATTACCTCAAGTCGATGGGCATAATCTTCTAACAATAGCTCATTCAACTTCTCCGCACTGTCATCTCTCATCAACTCTTCCACATGTTGAGATGCGTTTTCATACTCCTCTAATCCTTCTTCATCAATCTCAAGTGCATCTGCGGCCATCTTTCGCGCCAAATTATAGTCCTCAGAATGAATACGAGTTTCATCCAGAACATCTCCACCATAGTTGGTCTGCACACGGAGGAAAGAGCAGCAATTCATAAAGATATTCCATGTCAGTAGCTTGCGGAAGACAAGATCTCCACGTTTGTCCAAGCTTCCATTATGTTGATCCGCTTCAATGCTCTTAATCAAACTCTGTGCCTTTCGAGGACCCAGGCCACAGATGTATTGGAGCATATGAGCCTTGTAGGGCGAGTCAACAACCGCATTGAAATCGATGCCAACAGCATTGATGATATTGATAAGGGCGCGGTCCAAGAGTTCCCGGAGTCGATCCTCGCCAACAAGATGTTGCAATGGATGCTGGCGGATATTGATCAAATCGCGTCCAAGCGCTGCGTATTCATTCATAGGATTTTGCGCCAATCGAGCCAAGCTGATACAATAACGAGTCAGTGGATGTACTTCTGGGAACTCCTCTGCTGCCCTCTTAGAATTCTGGTATAGACGTGCGACCTCATCGTTGATCATCATCACTGGCGTATCATCTGCTTTTGTCTTCTCGACCTGCTCTAGTAAGCGACGGGTTGCAACGGTAAAGCCGCCTACTATGATGACATCTGGTCGGCGACGATCCAAAAAGTCGGTCAATTCCTTTTGTCCTTTGAGCTCACGAAGGCTATCGAGCTTTATGTGGTCTGCAAACTTGCCCTTGTCGTCCAAAAACGCTACCTGGATAGCATCTTTGGGCGACCCGGCTCCATGTGAGATAGCGACTACCCTTGGCGAGTAGTCTCGATCCCACTTTGCATCCCGAGGAGCATAAGGTGCAACATTTAATTTCTATTAAATATAGAAAAAAAGATCCCAAATGTTAGCTTGGTGCCAAAATTATAAAAACGATTCTTCTCTCAACAACATTAATAGCATAGTCAATAGTCAACTTGCCTCTTCCAAACTGATTTGACACTTCTTGGCAACCCACTCCTCAGCTTGTGAGCGTAATTTCTCGCTTAAACCACGTTCCATTAATCCAAAAACATGGTCTTTTAGGGCACTTGTCAAGATTTTGCGGCGCACTTCGTTCCACTTGCTGACAACCTCTGAGGAGTAGTCGCTCAGGAAATATTCAAATGCTTTTTGAAGATAGGCTGCTTCATCCGGAAGTTTGATCTCCACTTTCACAAGGCCTTCTGATTGCGCTTGAAGAATCTGCAGGTATTGACCATCGTGGAAATCACGGACATATTTTTGTGCCAACCGCTTGAAAGGATAATAGGGATGGAGTTCATCAATGACAGTCATGCCCTTCTCAGTTGGTGTAACAGTAACACATGCAGCGCTCTCGTATTTTTGACGAACAGCTTTCCTGACTTGTGGATCCACAGCAACTTCCTGTGAGATCATACTCATAGCCATGACAACCACACGATCTGTCGATGGAAAGCCACGCTCCACGTATTTTTCAGCCGCCTCGTGAGGTGAAATGGCAACATCTTCTGGGAAATGACGCTTGTTTTCCTCCAACAGATTAGTTCCAAACTCGCGTGCTGACAATCCAAAATCCTTGATATAGTCTGCAAGTTGCTCACGTTTGGAAGTATCATAAGCACCTCCAGAACCTGGTCTCTTGAATGTTTTTGTCTTGTCAATCTGCTTAGAAAAGCGTAGATTAATGTAGTCGGAAACATCCGTTAACTCCTCCAGCTTAGTAGCCTTGAGTAGTGAGTCATTTAGATACTCATCCTTGATTTCCATGCGGTCAATAAGAGTCTTGATGGCTTCTCGACGCTCGAGAAATGATCGAAACTTGAGATCTAGATCATAGATATACCACAAGTCTTCGCGTGATAAGAGTTCGGTCAACTGTTGACCATCCACCTTGGTGAAGTAATCTCGTCGATGGGTTTCGATGAAGGGTACCTCCATCAATTCCTGTGACATGAACTTCAAGACATTATTAACATTCTCTTTCTGGAAAGCGGGCTGGTCAACTCCTCGTCTATTCTCGTTCATCTGTGTGGTGATCCAATAAGCCTCCTCCTCAATATCATCATCGGTCAGCTGTCTATCGGCTTGGATTCCAGGACGAAGTTGCATGCGTTCAGGAACATCCTTAACTCGAATAATCTCATCAGTATCCGTCATCATCCTTTCAGCCAATACACCAGGTTCGAATACATCCTTGAGACGAGGTTCTGGTTTCTTTTCATAATACATGTCTTCCCCATTTTCCTTGCCAAGTGCATAGGCATAATCTTCACCATCACCAAATACTTCGTACCATTCGCCCCAAACACTATTCAAGTTGTTGTTAAGAAAAGAGACAATTTTGTTAAAACAAAATAAACCAGAATTTTCGATATGAGGGCTATTAAAAAGCTGTTCTCCATGACAACTTACTCTTCACTAAGACCCTCGATGGATGGTGCGTGTCTAGCCCTGGGTTTTGCAACTGGTTTTTCGCGGCGATCACGTCTTCGATCGTCTATATCCATATCTTCATCTTCATCATCATCAATGAAGCGATCCATCTCATCATCATAACCACCACGATCGTCCATGCCCTCGTCATCTTCATCATCAAAGATTTTCTGAACATCGTCATGTCGACTACTGTACATGTCTTCGTCATCATCTTCGTCTTCCTGCTTACGCTTTTTCAGTCTTTTAAATTTCTATTTTAAGGAAATAGCAATAGAAAAGCTATTGTTAATGATAACATCATCCGTTGCAATATGTGGAGGAGTATGATGGAACGAAAGAAATTATTCCAGTGTTGAATCATACCTCTGGTCTTCTGATCTTCACTCCTGTGTTCTCCTCCATCAAATCCAGATCTTCTTCATCAAGGTCCTCCTCTATTATCAGTTAAGGCGAATAATATAAATATATAAATAAACTTAGTATTCAACATCCTTCACATCCCAGTTCCTTACTGACATAGGATCTGCGGATCAAAAAAAAAAAAAAAAAAAAAAAAAAAAAAAAAGAGCTTACGCTTTCGCTTAGGCTGTTCGGTACCTTTTCTTTTTTTCTTCTTCTTTATGCGAGGGACCACTTCATCTTCTGATTCTTCTTCCACGTCATCATCAACAATAAATCCATCTCTAATCTATTTAAAAAAAAAAAAAAATAGAATAAAAATTAATGATATAGTCAAAAAAAAAAAAAATAAAAATAAAAAAATAAAAATAAAAAAATAAAAAAATAAAAAAAAAAAAAAAAAAAAAAAAGAACGTCCGTTTTAGCAGCAAGATATAATAGATATACTTACTCTCTTTAATTCTTCCTCATCATCTTCCTCATCGTCTTCAGAGTCATCGCGATCGCTGTCATCATAACCGACATCTTCGCCTTCCTCATCAGAGTAGTTCTGTCTTTCATCGTCAGACATTGCTTCCTTAATTCCTGAGCTGAAGGATTGATGGAATTAGAGAATGACGAATTTCTATTATCCTCCTTTGTTCTGTATTCCAAGCTCTGTTAAAGGGAAATGAGTCCTCCTTGGTGATTGTCCTTGTTTTTTTGTATAGCTCCCGTCAAATAAAGTCGTTTTGATCTGATTCGCCTGGCAACTACTGCAGACGGGCAGGAGAGGAGCGTATAATATAAATAGAGAGAAGAGAGAGAAGAGAAGAATGTTCAACTTTGTACAAAAAAAAAAAGAAAGCTCGACATGCATTAACATTGTCAAGGGTCGAGAGTACAGCACAAGCCTCTCTCAAAATACGTCACACTAGTCCTGATCACGCGACATTTTCGTATCAAAAAATCGAGCTTCAAGAGAGGGCAAGTCTTTAGTTAATTCATGTGTGCCAAGATGGCAACGACCATCACTCATGACGCCTCCACAAACGAGCCATTTATTCCTATGCGGATTGCCTTCATTCACCCAGACCTGGGTATTGGTATGACACGAAAAAATAAGACATCCTGCCCAGAAATAGCCTTGTCTCAAGAGTGAAAGGAAGAAGCGGGATAGTTACCCATGGTTATGGAGCTGACAAACTTCTTTTTTTCCCTGAATACACACACAACAGGTGGCGCAGAGAGGCTCGTCGTTGATGCAGCGGTCGGTCTACAGAGCCTTGGTCATAAGGTGACCATGTATACGTCTCATCACGATCCTACACATTGCTTTGAAGAAACACGCGATGGTAAGATAGCACAAGTTGAATATTTCAAAACAAATTTGATTGTAGTATGGACGGTTTATCGCATATCTTGCCTATGTCTGTTAATAGGTACACTAACGGTGCAAGTTGGCGGGAATGCCATTGTCCCTCGGACTATCCTTGGTCGTTTTTACATCATTTGTGCTATTCTCAGGAATCTACATCTGGCATGGATAGTCTTGCAGCTCAACAACAATACTCCTCCAAAAGAGAAACTCGATATTATTATCGTGGATCAGCTTTCTGTCTCTATCCCTCTTTTGCGTTGGACAGATGCCAGGATCTTTTTCTATTGCCATTTCCCAGATAAACTCTTAACAAAACGCGAATCACTTTTAAAGAAAATTTATCGCGTTCCAGTGGATTTTATTGAGGAAGTAACAACAGGTATAACCATCTTTGACAAGCAATGCGGACGAAGCTAAAATATTTTAAAAGACTAGGATTAAAGAAACATTATTATGTAAATACTGATATAGCGTTTTCTTTTCCCTTTAATTGAACATGTCAACAATTTCGACTATTCAGGCATGGCAGACACAATTGTAGTCAACAGCAAGTTTACAGCCAATATCTTCAAAGAGTCTTTCAAAATGCTTCGCCAGATACCTGAAGTTCTCTACCCTAGCATCCAATTTGACAAATTTGACAAAGAGGTGAATTACTCAGCACCAGATATCAAAATCCTAACTTCATTTTTGTCACCAGTATCCAACAACAATAATATCAACAACAACAGAACAGAAAAGATTACGTTCTTGTCTATTAACCGATACGAACGCAAAAAGGATATCAATTTAGCCATTCACGCCTTTGCAGGACTATTGAAGGACAAGTATCTCAGCGTTAGCACACAACAATCACTTCGTTTAGTCATCGCAGGAGGATATGATACCCGAGTAACCGAGAATGTGGAGCATCATTTAGAGCTGGTTAACTTGGCGGAGAAGATACATGGACTCAGAACATTCACTCTCTCTTCTGGACAAACCGATACGCAGGTGCCAGTGGAGACACAGGTCTTATTTCTGCAATCCATCACGGATGCTCAGAAACTTTACCTTCTACAGACTGCACGTGCGTTATTATATACACCTACTAATGAGCATTTCGGAATTGTGCCAGTGGAGGCCATGTACATGCGATGCCCCGTCATTGCTGTCAATTCAGGAGGGCCCACAGAGTCGATCTTACATGGCAAAACGGGTTACCTGTGTTCAGCTCAGGAACATGTTTGGACGAACACACTTAAACTATTAGTCAAAGCTTCGGAAGAAGAACTAAAGGAGATGGGCCAGACAGGACATGATCGTGTAGTTAGCTTGTTCTCGTTGACCGTGTTTGTCTCCAAACTAAATGGAATCCTTGTGCAGATGCAGCAACAGAGTTCCTATGAGCTGAAATCATATGGTTTATTTGATAGCAGTATGAGGCCCCTCTTTATCTTTTCTGTCTTGAGCATTGTGCTGGCCATCATGCTTTACCACTGACGCTAGGGATGCTTGGACCAGTCGTTAAATGTTATCCTTTAACAATAAAGATATCAGGCGCTTGCTGATCTAAACTCTTATTGTCACTCGTATTTGGAGTATATAATGCAAACGGTTTATTCATCATCAAATAACAATGTGCTATTGCGAAGTTGCCTGAGGGTTCATAAGCCTCTGGAGTATTTATTTAGACCGGACTATTCTCCTTAGCTACTCCAACGCTACTTCAGCACCTAATAATATTGAATAAATGCTGGTTCAATTTCGATCAGTCAATATGATATTAAGCACATTGCAGTACCAAGGTCCTTTAGTTGTTGATATAAAGAGTCAAAGCCTTGTTAGTCTTGAGCGCCTCTGATAATACAAGAGCTCCTACATTCCAAATGAATTTCCTCAAGCCCGAACTGGACAGTCATGCTAGTCTTGAATGTCTCTGACAGTGTAACTCTCGCATCAAATCGAGTTGCGTCATAAGCTCAAATTAACCAAAACCAAGTTAAGTTTGGACGCCTTTGATATTGCTAGAGCTCCTTGGCCTCCAATTGCGTTGCACTCCAAGTTCAAAGTGGTCAAATTCACGTTAGATTAGAGCACTCCTGCCAGTGCCAGAACTCCTTTATCCCCTTTATAGTTGCCCTCAAAGTCCAAAATGATCAAAGCTATATTGGGCTTGGGCGAATTTACAAGGACTGAGAGCCCACCAGCCTCAATCAATCCAAGTCTCATCTCAAAGAGTAATTTATGGAAGTGTGATGGTAAACTGGAAAGCTTTGTGAGGTCCGGGAATAAGAAAATATGAATCATCTTCATCTTGCTAGGTCCCATGACACGAATAAGTATTTCATATCGCGTGGATATTGAAAGTAATTTCTTGGTAATGCTTTCCTAGGGTTTTCCGAGATCAAGTCAAAGGATTGGCACACTTGACAACTTTAGTACGCCTTCAAATGCTTCAAGATCAGTTTTAGTCTAATCCCAGTTGAATGCGATATTCAACTCGTAAATGCGCCTTGCATTGGCTAGCGCGTCGAAAAACGTTCCAGCTCTGATTTTGGACCCCAATGTAATAGTCACTTTACCAAAGTGCGAGTCATATTGGCCTCTATTCACCTCCACTACATTTTCAAATGATTTCTTTTCTTTTTCTCCATTCTTCGAACGAGAGTGTTCAAAGCAAACCCACCTGAAATGGCCTACTTCGGTTGTAATCCTATACAAGCCCCCAACCTCCCTATCTTCATCGCTACCTCGAAGCAGCGTGGCTAGTTGTCGGAGATTAGCTCCTTCAAGCCTTTAGAGCTATCAATTGTGATGTTGTTCAAGACTGGATACTTCTTAAAGAACGCCTCCATATTTAATTAGGTAATCGATACCGACATCAAGATTGCGAACTGGTCCTAGAGAATCAGTCAGAGGAATCCCACCTTGAGTCAACGTAAAGAGTTGAGCATATATATTCCATTTCTATACTTTCTGAAAAATTCTGTACTGTTTCGGGCTTCATATCCGTCATATTTGGCATTACATTTAGTTTTGACTGCTCTTGCTTGCCCCTGCAGTATGCTTCCCACACTAACAAAAGCGATGAAGGCAGAACCACCCCCCAGCGCATTCCGTGAGCCCCACTTGGTGCTGTCAACAGGCAAAATGATGAACAGCCATGGGATTGGATACTCGTGTAGTTCAGAATCCTAGACAGGGATAGCAATAGTATGCTATTGGAGGAGGACAAGGTTGTTGAGGGCTTAATATTGCAACCCCTTAGTCTCCAATTACAGCTCTAATATTTTATCATCTTTCTCCTTGGCCCCTAGTAACAAGTTAATCATATTATTATCCTTCATTTTAGCTCCTAGCAGCAACTCCGCAAGCTTTTCAAGGTTAGAGTTGATCATCACAGCTTGTGCATTGTGCGAGTAGCATTAGGTTAGTTAAAATACTAGACTAAGTTTGATAACGTTAAAAGAAGGCCCGAGGAAGGCTAATTTTGCTGGCTTTCCCGATGTAGGCAATAGGATGACGGATCCACTGTTGCTGGTGCTGCTATTGGTACTGCTGAAGCTATGTGATTGCGGTGCTCCTGTAATGACATTTAATACCTTGTTAGGATAGAACGTAATGCGTAAAGGCTCGATCCTAATGGAGTAAAAAGAATAGCGCATTCAAATAGAGCTCTCTTAGAGCAAGCTAAGCACCACGAAATAGTATATAGCAATGCAAACTTATTGCCATCAGCGTACAAGAAGGGTGGAACGGGATAGCCGCCCGATTTTAATCGCATCCGGAAACACGTCTTGGCTGTCGCGACTACACAGAGTATGACGAACTGCCATTAGTTGTAGAGGAAGAAGTAGTTTTGAAACGAAATCCTTCATTGATGCTGTTATCGGCTTTCATAATTGTTAACATTGTTGTGTCATCTTGGTGATCAATGGATGAGGCGTTCCTTCAATTCTCTTTATATAACAGATGTGCTGATTTCTTTTTTTTTTTTTTTTTTTTTTTTTTTTTTCACCCTCACCACCTGGTTAAAAGAGCATAGAAGTGAGGGAGACCCTCCTTAAAAGTCTCTTCGCTTTACTTCTGAAAACTCAATTGAGTTGATGGGTTTATTGCACTTGAATGACCGGTTTTACATGATCCACTTGATTATTTCATTATCCAAAAGAGGTCATTCACTTGCATCCTTTAAGTAAAGCAAAGCAGTCTTTGAAAGCGATTTGGGATGATGGTAAACCAATGGTGACCAAATATGATTGAGGCGGCTAATGTAGAACACATAAATGAAGCACGTCTGAGGTTATTGGCACATGAACAGCATAATGACCTCCCTGCATAATATATTCTTTGTTCCTGGAACATTATTCAATCACTCGCAGAGACTCACACTTTCCCGCTTGGAGTAGAGATGTAAAGTAGAGAGAAGGTCAGTGGGATGAGTGGAATGTCTTGTATTTTTTTTTTTAGTTCCTAGCTCGAAGAGTTCATTAACACCAGTTGGATGCAATTTCTTCTGCTGTTGCAGATCGCGGCTTTTACGTGACTTCTGTCCCATGCATCCAGGCCCAGGACCTGGCAGCTAATGACGAATTTAATATCGGCGTAGTATACTCTCCTTGCTTTGCCTCTTCAGCCAGAGTATGGAAGACTGTCCAAAAGGAAGGAGATGATGGTTATTTAACGTGAATTTCTGTCGAAATGACGATTCGAACGATTTCTCATACTGAATAGGCCATATCCATTGATACTTGAGAAGTGGTTACACAATATACTGCCCTCGTCATATGGTCGCAAGCATGTTCTAAAAACATATTGATTTGGTCGCCTCAGAAGATTGAATAATCTTGAATGAGTTGGTGGCCAAAATCAGTCATCGATTTAATACTCAAGTCCCATTCAACATTGCAAGCTGTTTTTAGGCCAAGTCAATCAATATATACTTACAATATGTTTTGATCAAATGGTAAGGACGAGAAATACACCGTTTGCCTAATAGGTCAACTGTATAAAGTGTATCGTTTGTCCAAATGCATAAATATTTGAAAATACAATACGTTTGTCCAGCATTTTTCACAGAACGCTGCTCCATGACACAAGAAATTAAAGAAACGTGTCTCACCCTTTATTCATGTGTAACCACTACATGGACTTTGTACATGGATATGTTCTATCCATGTGCTGTCTACCTGTCTTTAAAAATTTCATGCACAACAGCCCAGCCCTTTTATGTACAATTTGCCCGCCCCTCAACTGCAAATGTATGGTCAATTGAAAAGAGCTATCGGGATTGTGCAAAAAAGCAATCATTGCCCATCTCTTCCTTTTCCGTTTTGCCTCACAAACTACACTCCGAATGCCCCAGCAAATAATTGCAGCAACCCCTTTAACAAAGGTATAGACTTCCATGTTGGCCGGTAAAGCTCTTATGTATGTTGTATATGAACTGTTTGCCCAGGATATTCAGAAAAGAAATCTCGATAACTTTTATCCGAGTAACTGCACGACAGCATAATAGCCCACTTGTATTGTGCTCCGTTTGTTTATCCAGCAGCTTAACCCTGCCTTATCCCTGTGTCACGATCGGATAAGTCATTGGGAAAACATTTAAATACCCTGGCATTTCCTCGCAGGAGTTGACACAAACAATCCCCTTCAAACTCACAAGAGCCATTCAAGAACCATCTATCTCACAGAACCCTCGTTCACATTCCTTGACCAGACCAGATCTTTGTAAGTCAATACTATATATCGGACTTACGCGTTATAATTAAAGTGGCATATGTTAGCATCCATAACTGACCATTTTCACAAAACCACACCCTATATATATATATATACTTGTTTATTCAACACATCTAGTTCCCATCTTAACACGCAAAATGATTATTCCTTATGCTCTTTTGGTTCCCTTGTTGCTCTTGAATTCAGTCTCTGCCAGCCATTGGGCTTGTTACAGACGTCGGAACACAAATTTCGGTTGGAATATTGATGCTGTCCTTGCAGACCCAAATGGAATTATTATTGCACAAACTGGTTATCATAATGACCTTGCCGACGTTTACACAAAAAAAAATGGCAGAGGAAGGATGGACATTAGAAGTGGATTGAAAACTTGGTCTTGTGTTACTGATGGTGTAGATCATGGAACTTTCACTGCTAATGAAGTGAAAACACTTAATAACAAAGTTGACAAGATTGCTTTTGGATGTTACGACTTGGGTGGAACAGATTACTGCAACCAGTATGATTACATTAAAAAGATGTGCTATGGATGGCTAGACCAGGTCAAGGATGGCAAGCTGAATGTCTAGGACAAAAAGAAAAAAAATTTTCAGTATCACCAGTCCACATCCGTAGTATCGGTTCATTATAGTCATAGTCCATATCCATCCAGTATATGGACAAATAAAAGCTAATTGAGGTTACAAGAACATAAACAAGCCCTCATGCTTCCAGAGCTCTCGCCAAAGAGTCGTGCAAACACACACTTTTGAAGGTTATTAAGTTGAATAATAACTTTAATTGGTGAAAGAGAATACATCAGTCACTTGAAAGGAAATATGATCAAAATGGTCAAAATGTTTTTCAGGCCTCTGGCAAACAGCTCAGTTGCAACATGCATAAAGTCTTCATCAATCAACACGAAAATTTAAACTTTTGTTAATGAGGCTGATACAGTTACCTACTGTGGGTATTTGAGCAGCACTTAATGAGAAAAATGGAAAGGAAAGGGCTTGAAGCTCTTTTCTTTTTGAAAAAAAGCGTAAAACTTTCATTTTGTAACGAAGCCTTTATAGGTGTTGCAGATGAATTCTTTGTCAGAGGTTTTTTCTTTCAGGCGACTGCACAGTGCATATTATATCCATACAGTATCTCTCGTCTTTATAAATTATTGAGATTTCACCTTAAGTCATGAGTAAAGAAAGATCGTTTCGTTTTAGTATATAGTGTCTAGCATACCATTCCGGTGCTGAGGTATTCGAGCTTGTATCGGAAAAGCATCGTTCAAGGTCACGCTATATGGATCGTAGTACGCTTGATCCTTTGAATCGGCAGGAGATCTTTTCGACAATGGTATGAGATCCAGCGAATCGTAGGCTATGGCCATTGGTCTATGGCTCTTCCAAGATCTTAGAAGCTAGTTACGGAGCTAGGAAACTAGGGAACGTGACTTGGCTTGACAGACATAACCTGGAATGAGAGAGGGATGATTTGACAGCAAATTAATCATACACGTAGCTGATCTTTAGATACCTTTCTAGGTTGCCCTAGGTTTGGCATAGAAGCATTATCTGCAAAACACTTACGGGCCTTTAGAGCCGACCCAACTGATATACTGAGCTCTCTTACCACTTCACTTGATGACTTTTCCTTGACTAAAAAACACTTGAGCATAATCGCGAATTGATTTAGTAACGCGAGTCATTATTGATGAGGCAATAGCTTGGAATGTAGTGAATGGTAACACAATGTAGAACGCAATAATTTTGGATAATCTGGAGTGCAATAAAGGTCAACTCTCCGCTTTAAAAAACAATGAACTTTAAATCATTATAGAAAAGTTAAAGTGAGCATTTTGACTGAACATGTAAATATTTGTGACCATACATCTGACACTTTTCTAAAAAGGGACACAGTCGTGTCACTCGAACCTTTGATCCTTGAATTATGCTACAATGCTTTTTTCAGTCAAGAGCACGTCTCATGATAAATATGACTACTCAAAACAAATCGAGGATACAGTGAGGGTCGGAATACAAGGTGCTCTTTAATCTCTCTACAGTCGTAGCCGCAATAAAAAAATGGTTGGAGCCATCATTTGTTCGACAATGTATGGAATCGCCTTATATCCAGGGAGGTTTCTGATGCACAGGGCTCACGAGAAAGTCTTGATGAAATCTGGACCATAAGATCGTTCGGAATCACAAGGTATTTTGTTGAGCGTGGGTTTGCGTGGGCAGACTTTTGGTGAAATCGATTGAGGCAGTAAAATATTACTTTCAGAAGCCAAAGATGGAGCTGTTTATCTTATTGTTATACCTTTGTTATGCTGAAGTCCCCCAACCAATCACTCCTTAGATCTATAAAACGCCTGTTTACCATCGTGATTTCCTTTTTACGCCATGGCAGTATATCAAGCATCTTCATAGACACCGCCAAATGCTCTTATTGAAGCGAGCATTGATTGACGTCGATGATGCAAGGAATAGGAGGAGATCTGTATCCCGAACTGCCATAACCTGAGCCCTATCTAATGTCTTTCGAGGCGCAAAAGGAGGCCTTGTCCACTTCAATCCAAGATACGCTTGTAAAAACTATGTATAGATGTCCATGCCAAGAAAGAAGGTTACTAGTCAATACCATCGATGATGCGAAATCCAAGTCGACTGCTTTGTGCAATAACAAGGTCATCAGGAAATGTATTGATTGCGTGTTTCGCTGTGCCGAGAGCTGTGCCAACATTGATCATCGTTGAGTCTTCCAATGCCCCAAATATAATGTACTATTGGCCACTTGTTGCTTCCACCTTATCAAAAGCAAAAGCTTCATTCAGTGCACTGCAATGGATTACTATAACATCCCTCTACATATGGCATATGGTAGCGAGCCTTGGGGTTCTTTTGCAACGGAGGTGCTACGCAGTTCCTGCCGATTCAAACGAACAAGCGTACTATGGGCTATACGAGATGATCTTGACTTATACTTGTACGATACAAGCTCAATACAAGTCCGATACTTGGCGTTACCACAAACGCATCCAAGCTGTACTGAACAACCAGCTTCCTTAGCGAACATTTCGTTTTGCCCAACCGCCGGGATGTTTGTCACGAACAGCAAGCAATGCCGAGCTTATGAATTGATGAATGTATTTTTATCTGATTCAGATTTAGAAAAAGACTTCGTGTGCTTGATTATTTTGTTCCACGTTTTTCCTCCCCCATTCCCCTAATTCATAGTTTTGTCCGTCAAGTCAGGTCGCGACTCCTAGTTTCCTAGCTCCGTGGATAGCTTCTAGGGCTCTGGAAGAGCTACAGACTAACGACCATGGCCTACGATGCCAAGGAATCTCGAAATAAGATTACATCCGATATCTTCCTCGGATCCCTTGTATTAAGCTAACTCAACACTTGGTGTTCCGACCAGAGTGAAAGTCATTACTTACCAACTTCCTAGAGCCTTCCAGCTCTATCTATAAGTCAGTGGGGCCTAAAATCCTCAGGAAGGATACATATAATACCCGAGAATATATGGTAGTAACATAGCCTCAGTAAAATGGCAAGGTATGAAGATATTGAAGAAAAGCCGAAAATTACTGAAGCATGCTAACACTTTTTTGGAGGACTGTATATCAAGGTGACATGGACCTCAAGGTGACATGGAGGGCACGTTGCAACTCATCAATGGTATTAAGGTAAAGAACAATGGGTGTCTGGAATTTATAATTGCATCTTTCTTTATTGTGATATATCAACAATAAAAATATAGAAAAATGCAATTGTAGAGTGGGGTTGCAATTGCGGAAGGAGGTCCAGTCACGGGGTTCGGGCTTTAGACACTGTTTTATTTAGTCACGTGGAGATGGTTTGCCACCAACTACACAACGAGCAGCAGCTCAGGAAACTGATTTCTTGTTCCTTCTCTTACACAAGAGCCATTTGGGTACTGATTGTTCTCGTTGGGTCTCTGCGTATTGTATTGTTCTTTTATTGTCTTCGAGAATTATTCCATCGATCTGGAGCTGGAAGTGACCTATCCTACCTACCCCTAAATTATCCAACAACACTCCCTAAACTAATCAAAATACGCACGCTGTTCGCAAGGCTTGATGCACTAAAGGAATGGAGTAATTGCATTCCACAAGTGCAAACAAGACTGCAGGAACATGGCATGTTTACAAGTAACGCCAGTTTCATTTCCCTTCATTCCTTCAACTTATATATAATAAAATAAAACCCTTTTTCTTGGACTGAAATCTGTGAGGAGCGCCAATGTCCACTGTCAAGGTTAATCTTAAGAATGCAAAGGAGAGCATCGTCAATAAGAATTACGATGATGCGCTTAAATGGGCTCAAAAGGTTCTTGACGCGGACTCGGAAAACTATAATGGGTAAATACATTTACTTTTCTGTGCTATACCGCTGTAAAGGAAGGACCTAATAATATTTATTACGTTTTTTTTTTCAAATCTTAAAAAAGGCTTATATTTTCAGGAATAGCATATCAGAATCTTAAACAGACCGCCAAAGGAGAAGAACATTTTAAGAAGGCTATTGCTGTCAACCCTGAACATCCTTTGGCGCGCGAGGTAACGTAACAGCACTTGACCAATCAACCGAATTGCAATAAAAAAGCAGCTCTACATTTCACTATACTTGAGCATCTTACGCGTGCATGGATACATTCTTATTAGTTTTTTATTTTTATTTTTATTTATTACATTTTGTTGTTGTTGTTGCCCTTTTCGTCAATCTAGGGCTTAATTAAATTCTATGAGGAGCAGAAAAAATTGCCGGAGCTCATCGATGCACTGGAGGAAATACTTCAAATTCATTTAAAAACGTAAGCCGACAAAAGATTTTTTTTTTTCTCATATTAATCTCCAAAGGTTTGGTTTTCTCATTTCAATGGTAATCATAATATTCTGATATTCTGCAAAAAAAAAAAATAGTTCGGATGGAAAAAAGGCACTCTTGACGACAGAGAAATTAATTGAACTCTATACAAATGACGGTCAAATGAACAATGCAGTTGAAAAGATTCGGGCACTTCTACCAGGATCAAAACTCTATGACATCATGGAGAATAAACCCGATCAGTTAGAGATCCTAAAGAGATTGGCATCGTTTCAGGAAAGAACCGATTCAGAATTTTATGAACGTGAAGTTAAACTTCGTCGTGGAAGACTTGGAGGTGGAACACAAGAACAAGTCCAGAACGCTGTCAGAAAGGAATTGTATAACCAATCCGAGGTAGGTTAACTTTTTTCTTTATACATCTGGAGGAGAACTCGGTGCTTGATGATATATTGGGAATAAAGCTCAACCCAGTGCATTCAACTGATTTTATGGCACAACTTTTAAATTTAGCTTGGATCGACATATGAGACAATTTTAGAATTGGATCCTGAAGGCAGTCGAGATTTACAGCTGAAATTACTTCAATTCCTAATCAACAAAATGGAAGCCGTCGCAATGGATCAAAAGACTGCTGTTCGTGAGAAAGCACTGACGTTGGCATCCAATTTGATCAATTATTCTCCATCTTCATTGTCAACATCATCACCATCATCATCACCTCTCCCTTATGAGCTGATTTTAAAATTCACAGACGCAAGTTCCCCCTCCGATTACGATACTGATTTACAGGAGCAATATATTACAAAATATCCCAACACTGGACTCTCCAAAATGATCCAAGCACAACTTCACTTCTCCAATGGGGAACCCAGAGAGGATCTGGTTGAGCTATTGGAGGAGGGCTTCAAATTAGAGCCCAATTTGGCATATGGTTACCTTGTTATCTGCTGGATGGATCACAAAACCAATGATTATGAAGTCGGTTTGGAACATGCCACTGCAGGTCGTGATATCCTTTTGAAACAAGCGGCCACAACAGGATATCCATTTTCGAAGTAAGGATAAAAAAAACTAAATGGCCAGCGATACATTGGAGGACCACCTTGTGAGAAATGGATGCTTGCATGTTCCATAGTAAGAAACAATGCTTACTGGTAGAGTCATACTACGTAATTTCGCTCATTAGAATGCGGCGTTCCTTTGAGCTGTGCATGGCTAACTGTCAGTTTAAAATCAGCCCAAAACTGGCAGACAACGCTCTAGCACTCTTTCAAGGAATCCTGGATGCGGACAAAAATAATATCGAAGCTCTTCAGGTGAGAAAAAGAAAGTTGCTTATCATGTCTAGTATTGCGCATTATTTTATGTTAAAAAAAAAAAAAAAAAAAAGTGCTGAGCCCTACAAGCATAACTTCATTGTGGAATAGGGTGTTGGATTCGTACGATGCATGGAGGGCAAATTTGAAGAAGCTATACAGTCATTTGAGTGTGTCCTTGCTCTAGATTCAAATAATATCCCTGCAAGATCAGAGTTGGGATGGATCAGCTACTTGCAACAGGATTACGACCAAGCAGAGGACAGGTTACGGGAAGTCATAGAAATGTCTGAAGACCCTCGTGCCTTGGATTTATACCGGCTAGGAAGGATCTATTATGACATGGGCGGTAGGTTTGACAAGCAGAGGGGGGAAGAGACTGATAATGAAGTGGTTGAATATGCCGGAGCAGAGCGAGTATAGAAAATCATAAATTGGACAACTTCCTTTTCTTTTTTCTTCGGACATGTTATTAGGTGAGTATCGAGAAAACCCAGAGTACAGCCATGCACAACTTATTGCAGCTGCAAAGCTAGATCCACGCTGCGCTGGTGCGTTCACTTATTTGGGACATTATTACCGTGAAGTGGTCGAGGACGAAGTACGTGCCGAAAAGTGTTACCAACATGCATTTTCGTTGGATCCTTGTGAAGGAGACGCTGGGCGTTTCCTGAGCGACTACTTGCTGAATGGGGGAAGTCTGGAGGGCGCCATTGATATCTATCAACAAGTGATTGAGGCAGATGGTAAAGCCAATTGGGCATTGAACAGGCTGGGATTCGCAGAGTTGATGCGTGGTAACAATATTGAAGCTACTAATGCGTTCCAGAAGCTGTTACGAAATGATATTAAGAATGCATTGGCATGGGAGGGTGTTGCAGAGGCTTATCAGCATGAAGGGCGTTACATGGCAGCATTGAAAGCCTTTACGAGAAATCGAGAACTCAGTCCCGACTCCACCGTGGCAGAATACCATATTGCTCGTGTTCATCAACGACTCGGCATGTATCCAGAAGCAAAAGAACATTACTCTCGTACTTTAGCGTTAGCAGAGAGGAACCAAGAGCCTAAGCATGTGCCATCGTTGATGGGCATGGCTGAAAGCTTTTTAGAGGAAGGAAAGGAGTTTTTCGTATCGGGTTATTATGGACGGTCTGCAGAGTCATGTGGACATGCACTTGAGTATGCCTATCAGCTGCTACAAGAGAATCCTAATATAGTTTCGGCTTGGAAACTCGTCGGGGATGCTTGCCTTGCCTATCGTCTCGTTCCTCGATACCTCCGTCTTTGCCCACTTGAAACTCTCTCTTCTATTCTTACTCTTCTACCCGAAGATACGAATGCTCTACTTCATTTCCCAGCCAACCTTGATGAGGATCTTCTCAAAGTGTTGAAAACCATAAACTGCTCGGATCTTGTTGATGCGACGACAGAAACGACCACTCAGATATTAGATGCCATCTTCACAGTCGCAGGGCTGGCTTACAAAAAAGCCAACATCTTGAGCGGAAATCAAGGCCATTTAGCGGCTCATTATTGGTATGACATCGCTCTCAGCTACTATTATCGATATGAGAACACTATCAAGAAAAGCCGTACTTCCGGGTCAGCTCATTCTGGAAGTCAGTGGTTGAATGTCACAATACGGTGTTTGAAGGCTTCATTGCATTTTGAAGAGGAAAATCCGATTGTGTGGAATGCGCTTGGTGTTGCTGCATTGTCCACGAATCCAAAGATCAGTCAGCACGCTTTTATCAAATCCATTGAGTATGATTCAAAGGTAAGGTTTCACATTGTTTCTATATATATGAATTTTAATGCAACGTGTATCATTCTGGTGCTCTTGAGCACAGTATTAGTCAGTGTTCTAGAATTCCAATTGATATAAAAAAAAATCTCTTCATACTACACTCTACACCAGAATGCTGCACCATGGTCCAATCTCGGATTCTTGTATATTCTTAACTCGGAATTGGATCTTGCTCTGAAAGCATTTATTACTGCGCAGACACTTGATCCATCATTGGCGGAGGCATGGACAGGACAGGCATGTGTTGCCAACCTTTGGGGAACGAACGAAGCAACAGGTCTTTTTGCTCATGCCTGTGAATCTAGTACGGCTTCAGTTTTAGAAGCAGACTATGGTTATGCCATCAATGCTTTCACGGATATGCTGTCTAGCTTCCACAAAGCCAGTGGTCCTGCCGGCCAAACGCCTTCCACCGGTGGTAGCGGTATAAAGCGCAAATCCCCTGTGAGTGCGGCGACACTGTTGGTGACACCAGCATTTGCACTTTCCAAATATTTAGAGCAAAGGCCCAGAGATGTTGCTGCCTGGAATTTGCTAGGTCTGATTCGAGAGCGATTCTTGCAGCAAGAAGGGGCAGCTGATTGCTTCTTGACTGCGATTAGAATCTTGGATGAGGAAGAAGGTGAAGTGGACAATAATGTGGATGCCGGAAGTAGTTACAGAAAGCGCAAGATGATACTGCTCCATAATTTGGCGCGTGCATTGTTGTCGATGCAGAATTATAGCGGTGCAGTGGAAGCGTATGAGGCTTCACTTGAATTGGAAGGGACGGAAGCAAAGCCCAATGTGATCAGGACATGCAAGCATTTAGGTGCAGGCTTGGCTCTCTATTATGCTGGGGAATTGGAACGGAGTCTCTCAATGTTTGAGATTGCGCTATCAGAAACAGAACAGGTGGAAGGGATGGAGGGCTCAAGGGACGATGTCGTGGTTCTGTTGAGTCAAGTGCTTTGGGCATTAGGTGGAGAGGAGCAGCGAGCGGTGGCGAAGGAAGAGCTATTCCGCTGTATCGCTCAATCGCCAACTCATCTACCGGCGATCTTTGGACTGGCCTCTATGGGTCTTGTTCAAAATGATGAGACATTGGCTACAGCCGCATTGAAAGAGATCCTTAAGTTTTCACGTCAGGAATTGGCAGAAATAGATCCTGAGATGCGATCGGATCGACTCTTGAGTCAGTACTTTTCGCTCTTGAGTGAATTCAAGCTGTCGATCGCAGCATTGTCCAAATCAGTGCATCAAGCGCCAACGGAGGCAGCCCTCTGGAGGCGACTTTCTGAACACCTGTCGATGACGATCGGGACAAGTGGAACGAGTGCTTACTCTGTTGCACAGTCCAATGCACAGGCAGCATTGGATCTGTTGAGGCAACAGGAGAGTCTACAGGCCTCAGACCTGATGCATGGGTATGCACAAGTGGCAGGAACGATGTTATTGACAGATCAGGAGCGACAACAGAAGGTAGCAGGATGGAAGAATGCCAAGAAGGAGAAAGTAGAGGAGGAGAATCGTCAGAGCATAGCAAGGGTTCGAGAAGCAGTATCGATGGCGCAGCGGGCGGTGATGGCAGCACCCTGGGAAAGACAAGGATGGCAGGTTGTTGGGGTGGCCACTGAAGCCTTAGTGGTGCGGTCATGAGTTTTAATAGATTCGTTGGTTCAATTAACCAAAAATTTGTCAGGGTGAGTCCGCATTGGCTAATTCAGGATTCAGGATAAAAATTAAAATCAAAAATAAATGAAAAACAAAAACAAAATAAAAAGCAGGATTAAAATAAAACATAAAACAGAAAAGACCTCTTTTTTTTACTTGAAAATGAAAATTGCTAAACAAGCACAGCATTTCAAGCATTTCACTTCTCTTTCTGGATTTGCCTCAAAACCAACAGTCTTTCTTTGATTTATGGCTAATGAACTGTTAACACTCGATTAAGAAACATTGTCTCATTACCTCATTACCTCACACTCATTCTCATTTTCGTACACTTTTCTTCTTTTTCTTATTTGTCCTGCATCAAAGGCTTTTTAGTTTTTTACTTTTTCTATTTTCTTTTTCATTCCTCAACGGAATGTCATCTCAGCACTCTTACAACCATCAGGACATTGCTACTACGACAAGTCGGTCTAACGAGCATAGTAACAATAACAACTCGATTAACCCAACAGGATCATATTCAACAAACCAAATAGCATCTTCCTTATCTGCACCTGCATCTGCCCCTTCGTCTACTGCCACTCCTGAAACTAACGCTGGAACAAACAACCAAACACCAATATTCTCTGCAACCGGACCAACGTCTACAAGCGAGGTTCCAGATCAACGTCCGCGGTCAATCCACACAAGCGTCGATAATCCCCCTTCGAGTGTAGCCGCTGCCACCGTAACTGCTCCAACAACCACGGCCATCTCCCCCAGCCCATCAGGTCAAGCGCAAACCTCGTTAAGCATCATCGGCACAAACATTAACGTTGGATCTAGTGTATTCTCCCTTCTCCGCCGCCACTTCCCAACCATGTCTCTGAATACGGACCAGCAGCAGCAACAACAGCAACAGCAAGACAATAGTCGAGCATCACATTTACCGTTACCACTGCCCGAACGGGAGGATTCCAGTCGTACTCGATCAATCACATTCGGGACACTCAAGAAGGCATCGATGTCTGGTTATTTACCCTCTTCTTCTTCCTCGTCTGCCTCCGCTGCAACTTCAGCAACAATGGTGATGAAAAAGTCGAAAATGACCACCTTGCCATCTTACTTTCAATACACAACATTCAAACAATATTTTCAGCCAGAAGGTCCTCCGATCGACCTTCAGACATTAGCATCTACCAACACAGATCGTGAGCCCTCAAAGCGTAGACGACTTCATCTGGATAGTCATCGAAGACGACATACACATTTTCGTCAGGATAGTGATAGCAGCAGCAGCAGCAGTGGAGAGAGCACAAGCGGTGGCGGAGGTAGCAGTAGTAGTGGTAGTAGTAGTGGTAGTGAATCTGCAAACAGCTCCTTTGAAAATGAGAGATGTTTGAACAACAGCACCAACACCAACCATGACAATAACAGCAACTCATCCAAGCCAGACCGTCCACCCCTACGATATCAGTTGCCCTCCCGATGGAGTACTGTGGATAAAACAGATAAGACAAGGCTTTCTGAAGATGACTTGCAAGCACATTATTTCGGTAATGTTTTAGTTGCAAAAACACCTTGGGGTCATACTTTATTAAGGGAGAATTCTAATCAACTTATTTGTCAAATAGGTCCAGGTGAAGTCGATAGTGATGCTGCTTCCATTCGTGCCAATCGACCGATCCCACCGCAGTGTGGAGTGTATTATTATGAAGTAATGATTAAAAGCAAAGGACAGAAAGGGTAAGGGAAATATTGAAGAAGAAAAGATGCCAATCTCTGCTCACATTATCCTAACCTAACGAATGTTGCGTTGATATGACATTGCACTGAATTGCATTGCATTATTAGATACATCGGAATAGGAGTATGTAGTGCGATGGTGCCACTAGACCGTCTACCAGGTAAAGTCCCTATATCTGTATAATAAAATAGAGCAAGAAAACAATGTCCCTACAAAGATGGACATAAATGCATGTAATGCTACATGATCCCATTTTAAACAAAGACCCTATCCCATTCTATCCTATCCTACCCAACCTAATCCAACCCAACCCTATCAATGTCCCATAGGCTGGGAGCCACAGTCATGGGGCTATCATGGTGATGACGGCAACAGCTTTGGAGGCTGTGGCAATGGGCGGCCCTATGGACCCGTTTTTACCACAGGAGATGTCATTGGGTGTGGCATCAACTTTCGGGATATGTCCTTATTCTACACCAAGAACGGCGTCTACCTCGGGGTTGCATTCCGAGATCTGAAAGGAACACTCTATCCGACAGTTGGGATGAGAACTGCGGGTGAAGTTGTTGAAGCCAACTTTGGGCAGCGAGAGTTTGTTTACAATATTGAGGACTATGTCATGGTAAAAAGATTTTTTTCCTTTTTTTCTTTTATTATATCTGTATTTGACTCTCATTCATCAAATGGACGACGCGCAACAAGGCTAGATCGATTTACCCTTCTTATTTTTTTTTATCCATTCCCTCCCTCCGTAGAATGAAAAAATCGAAGCATGGCAAACATTGGAGAATTCATTGCAGAGTACGTTGAGTGAAAGGCATCAAATGAGCTATCTGTCACAGAGTTTGAGTGAGTTGATCTTATCATACATGATTCACCACGGATACTCTGAGAGTGCAAAGCAATTTTCGAATGATCTTCTTCCTACACCCCTGCAACGTCAAGGTTCTTCAACATCCGCAGCTAAAGAATTTCAGAATTATCCTCCCTTGGTCCTTGATACGGAGAGACGAAAAGGTAACCTGTATACTCTTTTTGTTTTATTTTTTATCTTTTAGAGCGCCAAACTTTTGAGATGCATGGCATAAAATATCTAACTATGCGCTATCTTATTATTATTATTATTTTAGAAATTCGGGATACGATTTTAGCAGGAGAGATTGATCGCGCAATGGAATTGCTAGATACATACTACCCAGGGATCACCATGGAAAACGAAGATATGCTCCTTCAACTTCGATGTCGCAAATTTGTAGAGATGGTCAACAAAGCATCGACTCCACTCCGTAAATTAGATCAGCAAAAGACTGGGAAGGGTAAAGGAAAGGATAAGGATAAGGATACAGTTAAAGGAGAGATCAAGTCTCATCCAAGAAGCTTCATGGATGTGGAGATGACTGATGTCAATCGAGGTGAGGAGACGATGGAGATTGATCAAGAGAGACCACCTCCGTCCTCCATCTCAATTTCAAAGAGGACTGCTCTTGAACAAGGAGACTATAACAGCAACAATAGTAACAGGAGCGAGGGACTGGAGGAACTTGGGGATATGTTGAAGGATGCAATTCAGTACGGACAATCCTTACATGAGCAGTATAAGGATAACCGACGGCTTTCTGTCCAAGAGATGTTGGTCGACTCGTTTGCGATACTGGCTTATTCAGATGCGGACCATACTGCTCCAACTAGTTTACCAGCAACTAAGTCCCTGTCGTCGTCGTCGTCTTCTTCTTCTTCTTTATCACATCCTCTTCCTCCTCTTCATTCCTCCTCTTCTTCTTCTTCTTCTCATCATCATCGTCATCATCATCAGCATCAGCATCGTCATGGATCGAAACCCATTTCGCGTGAGAAGGTTGCTAATACAGTCAACACTGCAATCTTGGCTTCACAGGATCTGCCGACGATTGCACCGTTGGAGACTATTTATAGACAGACAAATGTGGTGATGTCAGAGTTGACCCGATTGGGCGTTGGTTCAGCAGCGTTCCTTGATGTGGAAAAGGATTGTTTAGAGTAGGAAGAATTATCATAAAACATTATAAATAATGTGAAGCGAATGAAAAAAAAAAAAAAAAAAAAAAAAAAATTGTTGAGAGTAAAAGAGAGTAAGAGTAAGAGTAAAAGAACTACCAAAAACGGCCTAAAATTGAAATTGACTATTTGGACTGAAGCATGATCAGCTTCCTTCTCTACGCATACTTTTCTCTTTTCTGCCCCCAAGCTTCCAAAGTGTTAGAATTGTCTGTATACAAGTTCGCTTGCCAATAAAATATTCCCGGTACCTTCCTGAAATGGAAAAGGCCCATTCTTGGTTTGACTGGAATATGCCTTGCTAGCCAACTAGAGCCATGTAAACAGCTTGTCATATACCATTCGACTAGCAAGAGTTATTGATGGTATATCCTGCCTGTCAGCTGAAAATACAAATTTTCTCAGGCTCCTCAGGCACATTTCAAGCACATTCAGGCACAACCAACGCAGGCATACTTATCTTTGTCCCACCCAAACTGTCATTTCCCCCTCTCTCCTCTCCTTCTCCTTCCCAGTGCTCCTATTCGAACTGAAATTTTGTCAATTGATATTTATTTTTTTAATCTGAAACATCATAATTGACAAAATTTCAGTTCGAATAGGAGCACTGCTCCTTCCTCATCCTAAGCACCCCTACCCTGAGTCGAAAGAGTGTCAAGTCACATGAATTTCAGTTTTTCCTTTTTTAGAAGTCAAACATCATTCTTTTTTCTCCTCAGGATGGAGCTGAGCGAGCCAATTCACCATGCTCACTACAAAGTGTCATCACCACCTAAAAAAGAAAGAAGAAAAGATAATCTCAACTCCATTCCATCCCTTTTTGCATGATGGACAACCTCAAATTAAATCCAAAAATCATTTTGATTATTGGTGGCTTCCTAAACCGGAAGGACCTTCTACGTTGTATTCGTGTCTCCAAGACCTTTCACGATACTCTTGTCGGATTCATTTGGAAAAAAGTCCTCGTTTGCCATCGCACAAGACATTTTACTAAGGAAATGGTGGAGGAACACAAGAAATATATTGAAGAGCTTGAGTTTCTTCATAGATTTCCCGACGTATATATATCATTGAAAGGGCTTGATCGCCTCAAACACATCAGTTATATTATGGGAGAATATTATGACCTGTCCTATCTTTCCTATCTTCCCGATCTCATCAAGGCTCACGGATCCACAATTACGAAGCTATCATTTAAGCAATCGACTTTACGAGAGATATGGGAAGCAGCACTAGAATGCATCCATCTTGAGGACCTAACCGTTTGTCGTATGAGGCTAAGCAGTGATATCGTGGATTTATTTTTTCAAATCTGCAAGAAGATTAAGCGCTTGGATATGCAAAATGTATATCTCGATGGGCTTCCTTCCAACTTCTTGAGCGACAACACGGACAAATTCATCTTCTCAAATGTGACCACACTAGCCCTTTGGGATGTCGATATAGACCTGCCTCTATCGGAGACGTCAGAGTATTGCCTCAGCATGTTTATTAAGAGATGTCCGGGATTGCAGTCACTGCAACTTGATGGATATCAAAGCAATTTGTACGCGGCAGCATTCCTTCATCATTCCTTCACACTGACAAATCTATCAGAGCTATTTATTGACTGCCGCCGAGGCGAGGCATCAGTAGTGGATATCTACGGTCCCATGTATTTAAACGACGGGGATCTGGCGGCACTTCTCAGACAGATGACTGAACTAAGGCAACTACGTGCTCCACATTGTGGTTTTGGCCCAGCTTCCCTTCGAGAATTGCTAGCAGAAGAGCAAGAGAGCCTGGAAGACGGACGTAAAGTACTAAAGAGAAGGAGTCAGAGGCTTTGCGATACAGTTGAGGTGCTGGACTTCAAAATATACAGCAAAAAGACTGAAGATGTTGCTGAATCGATCTTATCCAATTGTCCACGTCTGAAGAGTTTCTATGGATCTAGAGAGTTCTCCAGCACCCCATCCTACAGCCCATCCTACAGCCCATCCTACAGCCCATCCTACAGCCCATCCTACAGGCCAGCCACCCCGTCTTATGACCCATCCGACAGCCCAGTTAGCCCGTCTTATAGCCCACCCTATAACCCATCCTACAACGCAGCCAGTCCGTCTTTTAGCCCGACCAACCCGGTCTCTTCTCCATGATACCCCGGATCATACATCATGATAAACAGTAAAGTTAAGTACTGGATCTAGTCGCTTCTAGTAAAAGCATGTCAAACTGCGTTGGGCCAGAGCCAGTTTTTGAAGAGTAGCGAGTTTACGCTGTAGCACACCTGTTTTAGAATATTCAGAAGTATTGAGTGAAACTAGATATCTATGCTGACGACTGAAATATGAAGTTTGCAAACCAGTAAAATTAATATGAAACAACGAAAGTCCTTTCAAATAGCATGGAAACTGTTGAATATATGCAATTTCCCATGAGGAATCCATTAATCGCTGGTGCTCAGCTGATAAAGACTTATTTTCATGAAGGAAAGTCGGTCAAGGGCTAAAAAAAAAAGTTCAGCACAAATTTGCAGGGCGCGGTAGAACATGGGGGCAAAGGGCGTGGCAGGAGCGAGTCAGTACGTTTGCAGTTCTATTCCACCATGACCACCTCTATCCACTACGAAATACCACCATCACTACTAAAAAAAAAGGAAGGACAATCTTAACTCCATCCCATCATCTCTCATTGCATGACGGGCGACATCAAACTGAATCCTTTGGAGATTCCAGAGATCATCTCACTTGTTGGCGATTTCTTGGGTCAAGACGACATCATTAATTGTATTCGCATCTCAAAGACTTTCCACAACACACTTGTCGGATCCATATGAAAGCGCATTTTTGTGGAAGATGATTCAGGGTATCCCATAGGGAGAGCACTACAGAACAACAAGGAGCACATCGAGGAGCTTCATTTTTTTATTCGCCTATCAGAAGATTACAGGTCATTGAAAGACTGTAGCCGCCTCAAGCGGGTCAGCTACCAAATACCGACACATTCTTCAATCTCGAACGACCTTCTCGAGCTCATTAAGACCCATAGAACCACAATCACTCACTTTTCGGTTATGTACGAGTATTCGGGTTTGGGAGAAATATGGGAGGTACTGCTGGAATGCACCAACCTTAGGATCTTGGAGATTAACAGCTCGAATATAATCGAAGAAGAAGTCGATCTATTTTTTCGAGTCTGCAAGAAACTTAGACGCTTGGAAATACACACTGTAACGGTCTCTCATCTCCCTGCCAACTTCTTGAGCGACGACACGGATACATTTGTTTTTCCAATTGTGAAATTAATCGTTGATAATATCCAAATACTCAACCCTCCATATCCGCATACATCGTCATATTGTCTCGGCATGTGGACTAGGAGATGTCCAGGATTAGCATCATTGCTCTTCTATCCCCCTCAAGGGGTCCCTGAGGCCATAGAGATAAAGCAAATAGGCATTGACTTCTACAGGGCGGCATTCTTTCACCGGCCCTGCACACTGACAAATATCTCAGAGCTACACCTTTACCGCGTGGATATAAAAGACGAGGACATGGCGGTGATACTCAGATAGTTGACGGACCTTAGGCTACTACATGCTCACAACTGTGAGTTTGGACAGCTCTCCATGCGGGAATTACTAGCAGAGGAGCAGGAGGTTCTTGAGGATGGATACATAGTACTGAAAAGGAGAGAGCAGAGGCTCTGCGTTACTGTTGAATCACTGGAATCAATAGACAAACTGAAAGAACTGATGGCATTGTTCAAGCGATCCTATCCAATTGTCCACATCTGAAGCGCCTGAAGGGGTCTAGGGCTACAGTGAAAGAGATTACTTGTGGCGCAGAATGGGCCAGTACCGGCCTCATACATTTGGCCATCGACCTTGAAGCAGATGTTAATCAAGAGACTACAGAAGGCATGGAGATGCAGCGTGTTGTGTTTAGACAAATAGGCAGGTTGACTCGACTGAGGATCCTTGAGCTGACAGATTGGTTTTCACAATCGGAGAAAATCAAGACACTAGACTTGAGGCTAAGAGCGGGTCTAGATGAACTAGTCGACCTGAAGAGTCTACTTAATTTATTTTTCTTACGCGATAAGCATCAACAAATGCAGCTTGAGGATGCAACGTGGATTGTAAGCAATTGGCCGAGTATCAAAGATTTGTATGGGGTTGTGAGCAGCGATCCAGACACATGCAGTTTAGTAACAAAGTTGCTCCAATCCCACAATGTTACCATTCAGCGGCATTAACAAAATAAAAAATGTTATCGTAGATCTTGAGCAAAAGACAGTTACTTTACAAATGGGCAGTGTTATGAGTGCAACAATGAAGCCATATTGTAAGAATGTTCCGAAATGGCCATAAAGTATTATTATTATTATTATTATTATTATTTTCATCGAGAACAGCCACTACAACACCTCGGTTTAATTCCTCTCTTCCTCAGCCTTCTACAGCTCTCACAAGGATTCATTCAGCTATAGGCCTAGAAAAGTAGTTCAGCCATCACTTGTTAGATGAAAGTCCGCAGCTCGGCTCGACAGACTAGGATCAGATTTCACAAACACTTTTCTAGACAGTATGGTAACAAGTTCACCTTGCTATCATCTATACTAAATTTTCAATTTTCAGAGTGCATTTTAACGCTTTTTTTTTTTTTTTTTTTTACACTGTTTTATTAATGGATTGCTTGCTATCTAGCTATCTAACTTACCTGGCTACTATTCTAAGCTACAAGAAGCCAGACTCTTAGCCACCTTGGAAAGTGCTTTCCTTTGTCACCATCGAAAAGTCTCTCCAAGATGTTGTCCGGAGCACACCACGTGGAGGTGGTCTGGCATATCGTGCTCCGTTGGTCAGGCCCCATGGCCTTGCAAACGCCCGCACACACACACACACATATATTTACCCATTCCCATTCCCATTCCCTTTCCCAGTCGAAGAGGCTCCGCCACCGCATGGCTCATTCAAGAACCAGCGTAGGCTCATGCCCGTTCGGACCCACCTTAGATATGCATCGATTGTTGCATCTTGGATGTGCATTGTTGCTATGTTAAGAGTGCTTTGTGTTAGTAAGAGTTTTTTTTTATGTTTTTCTGGCTTGAGGTTTTTTTTTGTTTTTTTTATGTTTTTCTGATTTATGTTTTTTTTTTTTTTTTTTTTTTTTTTTTTTTGGCTTTTCTTTTCTTGACTTTTTTTATTTTTCTTTTCTTGGATTAAGATTAATTTATTTGGTGTTTTTTTTTTTTTTTTTTTTTTTTTTTTTTTTGGTTTTTTTTCTTTGAATTATCTTTATTTATTTTTCATCGTTGATTTTTCTTGTTTTTTGTTTGTTTTCTTTTTTTGTTTCTTTGTTTCTTCTTTTGTTTCTTCTTTTGTTTCTTTGTTTTCTTTTTTTGTTTCTTTGTTTCTTCTTTTGTTTCTTCTTTTGTTTCTTTGTTTTCTTTTTTTGTTTCTTTGTTTCTTCTTTTGTTTCTTTGTTTTCTTTTTTTGTTTCTTTGTTTCTTCTTTTGTTTCTTTGTTTTCTTTTTTTGTTTCTTTGTGATTTTGGATTTTTTTTTTTTTTTTTTTTTTTTTTTTTTTGGAGGCGTTTGTTTTGGCTTCATGGATTGTTCGGCCTTTTTTTGGTTTCGTTCTTCAGCTAGTGGTGCCGAGCTTTCAGTACCAGCGCCTTTTAGGGTGTGCTGTGGGAAATGGTCTGGCCATTATGGAGTTGCTCGAGAGGCCTTTGCCATCTAGTCATCATGCCCAGGAGGCGGGCTGGCCGGTTGGTCATTAAGAGCTGATCGAATGTGGTAGCCCGGCCATTTGTCTAGGGCCGTTTGAGCAGGACCGTTTGGATACAGCTGCTTGTTTGAGTGCGGCTGTTTGGGTGCGGCGGCTGTTTGAGCGCGGCTGTTTGAGCGCGGCTGTTTGAGCGTGGCTGTTTGAGCGTGGCTGTTTGGATGCGGCGGCTGTTTGTTTGAGCACGGCTGTTTGGATGCGGCAGCTTCGCTGTGAGCTATAAAGCTCCAGCTGCTTTCTATGGGTTCATGTCGTTTACAGTCTAATTGTGGAATGAAAAGAAAGAGATAGGCAGGGAAAGAAACATCAGAACAAGAACAGTGCAGCACAGAGCAAGAAGGTTGAGAACTTCAGTAGGAGTGTGTATTTGGAGAGTGTTGCTTACCTTTAATCTTGGTTGAGGAGGCCGATGGTCGAGGAGACCGAAGAGAAAGAGAAGAGAAAAGAAAAAAAAAAAAAGAAGAGAGTCAAAATTGGCTTTTTTTATTATTTTTTATGTTCGCGAAAGAAGAGGAGAAGTGATTGGATTTCAAAAGCACGATGTACTAAGTACCTTGCTTGCTGTACGCTCAAGAGCGACCAATAAAATGCAAACAACAACAATAAAAAATAAAAAATATACGTGTCTTTGATGTCATCTGTCATATTTCATATGATAATGAAGAGACTCTCACGATTAGAGATGGGAAAAACACTCTGTCTTCAAGACTCGCAATAAAGGCCTGTCCACAACCAACCAGAGCATGAGCTACATTGATCTCGAGTTATTTACTCTTGTTGGTAAAGGGAATCATCTTCTCAATCCTCTTCTTCTATTCTCTTTCTTCGGCCCTAACAAGAGATGGGATGAACTGTACTTCGGCAGATTGGCGTTTTTCCAGAGTGTGATAGAAAATAACACATGACAATCCTCAGAATACTTCTGCGCCTTTTTTTTATTTTTTGTTTTTTATTTTTTTATTTTCATGCAAGGCAATATAGAATATATAAAGATTAGTGAATAGCTGATTAGGCGGTGCGTTTATAATTCCTTTGTCTGAAGGTGAAATAAAGTATAGATATACCAACATTTATGTATCGAAAATTTATAAAAGCACACAATCGTATCGAAGGAATGACGTGTCGTATCTCTTTGGCGTTCTGAAAAGGAAAAAAAGGAAAAAAAGGAAAAAAAGGAAAAAAAGGAAAAAAAGGAAAAAAGGAAAAAAAGAAAAAGAATCTGCTCGGCGAAGCACAGTTCTCACAATAGTCTATCCTATTCCTTGTTAGAAATGAAGAGGGAGAAGAGAAGAAGAGAATTAAGTAGAAAGTTAGACTGGTAGTGCCTGATGGGCCCCATTGCCAAGCAAAAAAAAAAAAAAGGTACTCGAGCTTAATGCTGGTGAAAAATGGGAGTATGCGAGTGTTGATAAGCTATTGTGCATTGAATCCTGTCCTTTTACTTTAGTCGCATCACACTGCTCACTGTCCTTTAGTCTCTCTTTGTTGTACACCATGCAAAGAGAGCAATGTGGCTCGTGCTCTTGTTTGTAGACAGGCAGGTTGTTGTTTGTATGATTTTGCAGATCATTGAGGATAGAATGTTATTAATGCTCTTTCCATCCCACCTTCACCCGTGAGAGTTTTTTCTTTCTCCACCTTGCAAACATATGAAAATCGACGGATGATATCACAGGTGCACTGATTATCCAATTTTAATATCCGCTATGCCGCTTCTTTTTTTTTTTTTTTTTTTTTTTTTTTGCACACATGTTCTAGAGCGCAAAAAAGCATATCCATTATTCACTCAATACTTTGAAATCGCAAATTGGTTTCACTTCAGAGCGATGTCAAAAACCACTGATCGCACATCCCTTCGCCCTTTACTCGCGAGTGCCTTCGATAAACAATAGACTTTTTACTTTTCTTTTCCTTTTTCTCCCCAACACGCAGCAACTAAGAAGTAACAAAAGAAAAAAATAAAAAGCAAATAACAGAAAAACAGAGAAAATTATGGGATAAAGAAACACAACAACAAGACAACACCTGTCAAAGTAACTACAGGCTCCCTCAATCAAAGCAAACACAGACTCCTCCAACCAAAGCAAACATACCCAGCCTCAACCAAATCACCAAAGGCAGTGCCAGTCATAACAAACACAGGGCGCCTCAAGCAAAACAAACACGCTAAAGGCACCCAAAAAGCATCCAATAGCCTACGCATATCAAGACTACGAACCTCTAAAGCACGAAAGCAAAAGTCTTTTTGGCTAAGAGTCTGGCCGTCTTTGGGATAGGATGCATCTCAGGAGTACCAATAAACATTGCTTGTCTGAAATATTGGTAGATTCTTGTCCTTGATCAGTGTGAGCGCAGTTGTTCCTTCAAAACTTATCACAGGAATATGTCAATAAGTAGTAAACTATCTTAACCTTGCTTAATAACGCTCTGCCATTATACATAGAAGGTTCAGCCTATTCCAGATGCGACACCCCCCTCCCAATGACTTTCTGGGTAGGATTTTCTATTCTATTTTGAATAATTCCATCCGATTTAAGAAATGAAACGAGAAACATATGATTCTGAATTTTTAAATTGGTTTTTAGGTCGTCTTCGCGTCTCAATTCAATCGTATCCTAAAAAATAGTCAGAAAGTCAATGGGAGGGTATACAATGTAGCACTTGAGAGCGTTTTGAGATCATCCTTGCTAAACTTTAACCGGCTAATGAATGTAGATTAATTATGTGAGCACGAGCCATATTCAGCGCGTCCGAGAAGAGGTATTTGGTGATAGTATATATAAACAAATAAACAGGGTTGATAGATCGGCAAGCAAATGTGAATGTGAAATGTCCAATGTCAATAAGCTTCAATAGTCTCGATAGATGTGGCCGTGCTAGTCCTGTTATCATTTTTGTCTCTTTTAACTTACAGTTCAGCAGGCCAAGTAGACTAAAGGGTAACTATTGTGGATATTTTCCGTCTCGCTCCCTTTATTAACTATACTCTCCGATGCTGGTCAATATTCTGAGCACTACTCAGAATAATAGTGTGTTTTTTAAAATGTGAACGCACTACAGCATAATAGACATCTGAAACGGGACACAACTACCACTCATAGCCCTAAGTTAATGATAGGGATATCGCATTGACACGGCTTGACAATATAACTGGGGTCATGTAACTGTGTAAGCAACTGAGCACATAAAATTTTAAGGTATGCTACTAAAACGAAAAAAGAACAATGCGCGATATCGTTTCTCGAAAAAAAAAAAAAAAAAAAAAAAAAAAAAAAAGAACAGTTGTAGAGCTATTTTATTTTAAATACAGGAAAAGTAGGGTCAGTAATCTTTACCTCTTTACAGGTTGAAGGTCTTTCAGAGGAATAAGGGCTGCACTGGTAAAGGCAGAATCTGATCGTGTTTTAATGTTCTTTCAAACAAATGCACAAAATCGATTACTGTAATCAGACTAAAGAACCAAAAACCTACCGATATGATCGTTATATAGCTATCCCACTCAGAAAGGAAGAAAAATGGATGTGTCCTTTGTTTCGACCATCTACCAGGCGCCATTCGGGCAGGTAAGATTGTTATGTGGCTCACTAACAACAGCAGTGGAATGGTAAACAAGCAGGAAAATTTTAAACGTTGTGCCCATGCACATTCTTTGGTATGTATGCACGACGGAGTAAAAAACATGGATGCTCTTTGCCTTTAAAGTAGCCTCTCTTATGCTACAGCCTAAATCATTTTAGACTATGTACTGCTACTGCCACTGTACCTGTTGTTATCATTGTTTTTTATTATTATTATTATTATTATAAACAAGAACCACATCTTTACCGCTTGTGCTATTTGAGCACGTTTGTTTAACTCTCAGGGTAATATAATACGCCTAAGGGCTAATCAAGAACAAAACAATGAACCATCTCTGGCTCCTCCTAGCTCTTGTAGCCTTTTCGTTTATTATGGTCGTCGTTCTGTGCGATAGACTTAACTTATTCTTACTCTTTTTTTTTCTTTAAGCTGTTTGACCGACTGGAACAGGTTATGTTGATTTTACAGCTG